TGGGTGCGTACAGAATGAGTGGCGAAAAAAAAAATGCTGGGTTTAGACGCTAGAGTGCGTAAAGCGAGAAGATGAAGGGGTTGCAAGAGATCGTACCTGATGATAACGCGCTGGTGTACCCGATATCCCTACATCGTTGTTACGGGAGCTGCCTCTAGGGTCACGTGGAAGTGTCTAGAGATCTCTCGAGGTGGTTTAGACTAGACTTCAAGTAGGAATTCAATAAGGTTGTAACTGGTTGCAATTCTCGTAACTATAGTAATGAAACTAATGATTGTTCTTGAGCACGAAGCTCTACATTGTAATGAAACCCATTCCCTTATATAGACCTTCGTTCTCTGTGCTCAGTCGGATCACAAATGATCCTTCTGATCCGATCAACTGGATCACTAATGATCCCTCTGATCCGGTTACCTAAGCGTCGGGGTCACGTGACGTCTATTGTGGCAGACCATCGTAACAATCGTGCACGCCCCTATATCGTGCACACTTTTATTTCTTTTAAAAAAGATATTCTAAATTCAATATATAATCAATCAATCATTGAATTCTATTAATAATTATAAATAATATATCATATTACTATTTATTTCTTATAAATTAATTAAAATATAAAAATAATTATTATATATAATATAATTTCAATATTAAAATTATTAATATAAAAATATTATATATTAATTTATTTATTAATAGGAATAACGAAAATTGATTTTTTTTTAATTTTTTTTATAAATTTGAATATATTTTAATATAAAGAATTGAAAAAATTAAGTTTTTATATTGTAAATTTGATATTATATCAATATATTATTCTAAGTTTTTATAAATAATCTTTTTTAAAATAAAAATTAATTATAAATCAAGTATTTTATAATAATTTTTAATTTTTTGAATTATATAATATTATTAATAAATTTATTTTAATTAGAAGACTAAAAAAAACTATATTTTATTAAATATATATATATAATCGATTATTAAAAGAATTATAAAAATTAAATATTAGGATTATATAATTAATAATAAGATATTTCTAAAAAAGATATTTCTTTTAAATTTATTAAAAATAGAACTAATTTGAATATTAATAAAAAACAGAATATATTATAATATTGAATTATAATTATATTTAATCTATAAAATTTAAGGACTTTTTAAAAAAAAATTCTTTTAAATATGGATTTATAATATTTTTTTTCTTTAAAAAAAAATTAGTAAATTTATTTATTAAGAAATTAGAATATATTATTTTATTTATTATTTTTTCATTTTATATATTAATTTATAATATAATAATTTTTAATTTTTAATTATTTATTATTTTTATATAATTTTATTATTATTATATTATAGATTTTCTAATATATAAAAGTTTAATTTTCTAATTAAAATTCAAATAATAATTTCAGATTTTTAAAATCTATAAAGAAATATTTTAAAATTCTTTTTATTTTTTTGAATATTATGTATATTTTTGAAATTGTATTTAAAACTTAATTTTTCATATTTTTCAAAATCTCAAACTTTTTTTCAATAATAATAATATAAATCGATTCAAAAAACTTATTTTTAATAATATAGATTTATTCTAATATAAATTTTTATTAAATTATTAATATCTTAAAATATTATTTTTTAAATCAATTAATATTCTATTTAATATTTCAAATTCATTAAAAATTAATTATTATATTTCATTAATCTTCAATTTGTTTTTTATAAATTTTGATATTATTATAAATAGTTTTAGATTTATAATCAATTTTTAATTCAATAAATTAAAGCGTGCAAGATACAGGGTCGTGCACGATGCAGGGATATCGGTTATGGCGTAATTCACGCGCTGACATGCAGGCACAAATTCTATCTTATCATCGCGAAATCAGCCAATGAAAAGTGCCATAGATAAAGGAAAGATGCAGGTTTCAGAGACATCAAACGGCCATCGTTGGAATTTTCAACATTGCCAAATAAGGGAATGTAAAACATTGGATATATCCTTTACCAGGTGATTCTTCTTCTTTCAGGTACTCCTATCTCTCTGTTGCTCCCTGCTGACGCATCTTTATGCCGTACACCATTAAATTCCATGGATACCACAATGATATTGATGTAGTGAATCTTGCACTCATTCCAATACTTCGGATACCCACAGCTTCATCGTGCGACTTCTTTAGTTCGGAACAGAATTCAGAGTTCACAATCATTCCGTTGCTTCTCAATGACACAATGATTTCCAACTCACAACTTAGCAGTTGATTTTCACAGTAGCCGACAGACTTCTGTGGCACAATGGAATTCGTTCTAGAGCATCAAATTTGAGAAACATGGCTTCCCGATACTTGCTATTGACATATAGATCTTCCACTTTAAGTCCTCGTTTGTCCAAATCCATGTCAATCAACGTATATTTGTGGCACAATTGAGTTTGTCCCAGGGCGTCGAACATAGGAAGCTTTGGCTTCTCGAGATTTTGAACCGAACCGGCATGCATCTCTCTTATGTACAGAGAGTGAGATTGTTCTCTTGAGCTCCAATGGTAATTGAATATGGAACAAAGTAGTTGATGTCTCGAAGCAGCCATTTGTCTTGGGTGCATGACGTACAATCGTCCGCTGTTGATTAATGATGTTCTAGTGGACTTAGTTTCAGTACACAGGTGTGAATAGACTCATATCAACTGGGTTACATATTCTTTTTACCTAAATACGTCTTCCGGGGTTGATCTGCGAACTTCGATCTCACGCACCTTTTTGATATGCATTCTAAAATACATCCACCAGCACTAGATCAGCTGGTGTTTCTTAAAATACGGACGACTTATTAGCTTAAGTAAAGTCCAATGTACTTGGAAGTATGTTTCCATGCATTCATACTATTGTCTGTGCGTTACCAATGTCCGATCTGGTTCGCCCCAATTGTTCAGTTGTACACCCAGAATTAGGAATTACATGATTCTTGGGGAGAAACGAGATGAAGTCAAACTTCGATTTCTGGGAATGAATTGACCATTCCGTACATGGATGTATGAAGCGAAATCGGCTATCATGGTTGATACAACGTTTATAGATTGGTTGGGTCTAAAAGATGTTGTCGACAATTTGACACCTGTGAAGGGTGTCTTTTACCACGTGGTATATCAGTGCAGTGAGTGTGAAAGCATGACCCACGTTTCTGAGGCAATTCCTCTCACGTCAACAAGAAGGCATGGCTTTTCCCCCTCGTTGTTGACATTCGTTTCGCAGGCCAGTTTCTTAGATTACCTACTGAATGGTATCTCGTATCTACGTGGCAGTGAACGCTTGCATCCCCGAAAGTTAAGGTCGCAAGAAGCTATGAACGTTATACAGCGATACCATGCCTTACTCATTAGCACTCCTGATTGAAATTTCCGTTAAGTTTTTCATCACGTTGAAGCCACCAACGCCCTGGGTCATCGACTAAAATATGAGTGAAGGCTAAGAACCATTGCTCTGGATCTTTGCACAGATTTTTTGCAGCGGGAGATTTACTGTACTCTGATGATCTTCCGCAGACACCGTTCTTTACCTCAAAAACTCTAACTTCGGACTTTTGAAGTCAAATTCCACAGAAGAATGAGTTTTACGTATCTTCTTCATGTGGTACACAATAGTAATGTCAAAACTTACATGAAGCTATTCAGCCCAACTCGCAGTTAAAATTGGAAGCGATGGCTGATAGGTTCATTGACGAGTGCAGTACGTATCTGCCTGTGTTGACTTGCTCAAGTCCACTTGGCAGAGGAGACACACCCAACTTTCAGCTCGAACGATTTCGAGAAATTGTTTGAGTTCCACAAGTCTGTTTCCCGTGATGAACAATCATAGCAGTTACCAGTCGATAGCAACGAAAGAAGATTTCTCTCCCAGGTAACATACCAAGATCCAGAGATTATCGTGGCAAAGGGGTGTCTTAGAACATATTATGATAATAACAATCTGTCGTGCATATTCACATGTTCGTCGTGCTCTCGGAGTTTTAATATTGTTATTCGCTTGTTCCTGGTACCTGATCATCATATATACATTGCCGTCCCCATGTTTTCTGGAGGCATGGACCGAGTGTTATTAACCTAGCTCTAAACCGTTTCAAGCTTAACCTCCCTAAACAAAGTTTTGTATCTGTGAACCTGAGGATTTCATTTTCGGACTTCCTAGTGGCTTGGCCGAATATCATCAGACTATTCTGATCTTGATCTTGCCAACTAAAAGTGTGTATCCATAAGCCTCGAAATTACATTTCCGAACGGATGGTGCTTTCCATACAGGCTCTTCCCAAGTTGATCAGATCGCTTCACACTCGTAACTCTAATCGTAGCCGCCTGTAAAAGTTCCAATTCGAAAATAAGAAATCGGCCAACCGTTACGTACGAACAGAACACCTTTAATCAATCTCAATTAGAATTTGGCGACTCTTCGTTTTTCTCTGTGGGCCATTTGCCGGCTCTGTAAATTTTCCGATTATCCTATCGTCTTGAGGTTAGCATTCTCCGAGAGATGTATTGCAATAGTAGTGTCTTCGCACTTGACAACATGTCGGAAGAATAGTGCCACAACAGTCAATGGATTTCATTCAAGTAGAATGAAAACAATTATACTTTATGTGGCTTGAGATATGCAGGACATTATACTAGATGTTCGAGGGATCAGCTCTGTGAGTTCCTCAATGCTGTTGATGGGGGTCACTCCCGAGGTCATCTTGCATCTCTGAAGGCTGGGCATATGACATCTGAAGCCATCTGAACCCCTCATCCTATTGAATACGGTGTTTCTTCTGCAGCTAGATATACAGTCTCTACTTGATCTTGAGGTTCTCGGTCCAAGTGAAGCCCTGGAGAGACTGACATGGACCCATACCGAACTCTCGTTCTCTACGTGATGAAGAAGTATAAGAATCAGCATCTATTCCACTCCAAATCAACATTTTCTCAATCATCTTACATTTACACCTCAAACGAACAATTGTTAACAATTAAAATGCGATCCGTCATCATCACCTCAGCATTTGCAGCTTTGGCCTTTGCCAATCCACTCCCCCAAGTTATTGATTTGGGTGCGATTGATGCTCTTCCACCAGCTGAAGTTTATAATGCTCCAGTAGACATCCCTTCCAAAGATGTCGTGATTCAGCCAGTTGTCAAATCCATCAACGAAGCAGCTGCTGCAGTGAATAATATTGCTGTTTGAGCTGTTCCAGATATCCCAACTGTTCCAAATATTCCAGATATTCCAGATATTCCAGATATTCCAAGTAGATCCGCTAAAAAGCGTGATCTTGCCAAACGCGATTGCGAGCAACAACCAGCCGGCTATGGTCCAAACTCTAAGTAAGTTCCCAGCACATGATAACCTCAAATCATAACTCCGACTGACAATCTTAAAGACCAGATACCGCTGATGCTTTTTTAGCCGATCCTCAATACAACAAGATCGCCTCTAAAGCTCCCACTCCACAAGGTTACACTCTTACTTTCTCTGGACTCAAAGGTTCTACCCAGACCACCTCGTATCTTGGTTACAAGACCTTGAAATCCTATGACACTGTTGAGTGTGCTCAATACTGTGATCAACAAGAAGGTTGCATTGCCTTCAATATCTACTTTGAGCGTGATTCCACTGTTGATCCTGGGTTTAAGTGCTTCAACCCACCTTCCACAATCAACTACAAGTGTGTGAAGTGGGGTATTCAAATCAAGAAGGAGACTGCTACCAATACCGGTCAATACAGAAGTATGCTTCTCTCCCTTTCTGTTTGAATCAGTCAAATCACATAGTATTCTAAGAATCCTTCAGAGGACTTCAGCGTCGTCATTTCCGGATCAGATGGATACAACAAAAACTACTCCCCGGAACCTTGCGATAACTACAATGGTCCAGCCTCTCTCGGAGGAGCCATACAACCCCCTCTCGATCCAATCACCAAGACCGATACCTACATGGGCTACAAATTTTTCTCCTTTGACGACGTCAGAACCTACGAATACGGAGTCGTCGCCTGTACATCCGCCTGCACCGCGCAATCCAAATACAATATTGAGCATCCTCCTTCTTCCGGCCACCCAGCTATCTGCAACCAAGTCGTCGTCTACGTATTGAGTCAAAGCAACAAACCTCAAGGAATCTACTGCTCCATGTATACCGAAGTGTGGGCTCCCAACCACGCAACTAATTATGGTCAATGGAGAGGATCTGAATACTGGTCTGTTAGTCAAGCGTATTCCTATAGCAGAGCAGACTATGATGCCAAGTATCCAAAGGCTATCTGTGATGTTGGGGGATGTCCAGCGGATTCTTACAAGGGTGGTAATTGGGGCGGATGGGGATTCGAGAAGAAATGTGAGTCCAAGAGATCTGAGAATGTGGTTTTGTGATGGATAACTGATCTGTTGAGATATAGAAATGATAAGATTACTTTTCTTTCAAATGGATTCACTCTAACTCATGATTGAGATGATGGATATGATGGATGGAGGCCTTTTGATGGGGTTTAGTTTATATTCATTTCTCTTGCACCACACTCCTTTATGATTTAATGAAGACTATGGATTGGAACATGGAAGGGATAAGAGGATGTGGTCATTTATTTAATTTATTGCACCTAGGCTGGTATATCTTATAATAACGAAAAAAACTTATATGTTTTTCACCATATTTTTCTCCTCCTCGTGATTTGATTTTTGCGCACTGTCATGTCTATTAATCTCGTCTTTCGAAACCCATTATTTTCAGCCGAATTTCCAACTCCCTACATTGGCCTTTAGCGATTAATAAGGATTATCCTCGAAGCTCTCCTATATCCCACATCTAAACCCCTACATTCTATAAGTTACAAGAAGGGTGAATATAAGTTCTCTTTCCACATTCTGTATCTTACATCCTACATCCTACATCCTACATCCTACATCCTACATCCTACATACTTCTCTTACCTCTCCCCATCTTCCCTCTCCCCCTCTCTTTCCCTATCCCTCTCCATCCTCAACCATCCTCATCCCCTCCCCAAAAACACCCTCTCACAAAATCATTCCCTATCCTCTAACCTCCCAACCCAAGACCGTATCCCATATTTCACATCCCACACTCCCGTATCCCCGCTCATCCAATCTCATCTGGTTTTCTGCGCAATATCCACAACTCAAAAGGCTCATCACAGCTTATCACTTCACATTACTTTACTTCCCTTGGTTTCTTTATACCCACCCAAGTACCCTCTTCTCTTCTCTTCTCTTCTCTTCTCTTCTCTTCACAAGTCAACATCATAAGTATTACCATCAGTTCAATCCCATTACTATTGATTTATTTAATCTGCCATTTATCACCATCACCATTACCATCAACTTCATTTCACGATTTGCATATTCAAATTCACATACACACACACACCAATTCAAAATTAAATTCAGATTCATATCTTTATACAAATTCCACTATCTATTCCCTATCTCTCTCTCCTTCTCTTGTTCTCACCTCCCATCTGCCACCTCCCCTCTCTTCCTATCACCCCTTTCCTCCCCCTTCACCTTCTTCACTGTCTTTGCTTTCCCCCCCTTTTTGCATCTCTCTTCCCCCCCTCATCCCAATCTCCCACCAAAAAGCTACACATATGCACACCAAAAGCTAAGTAGACCAACATTTCGCCTACTCATGATATCATATACTTCCTAAACTATGCTTACTAATATAATAAACTATGCTGTCCGTAGACAGGGTTCTCCGCTCCAGAAAATGCATTGGAACGAAAACAAACAGACTTATTTGCACCAACTCGCGCATGCACCTACGCACCAACCATCTAGATCGATATGTGGTCTATCCACCTCCTCCAGACGCACTAAATCATCATCCACCAACAACTATCTATTAATCCCGTGATGTAAATCTTAACTCATAAAATCGCACTTTACAACTTCTCCTTCAAGAGCCCCTTCATCCTTCTCTCCACAGCCTCCAAATACTCTCCAGTGGTAACATAATCTCCCTTTCCGGTGTTTCCACAAGCCAATGCCAGATCTTTGGTCATAATGCCCTCCTTGTCAACAACATCCACACAAGCTTGTTCCAAACTCTCTGCAAAAGCCACAACTTCTGGGGTATTATCCAAGTTACCTCTTTGAATCAAACCTCTTGTCCAGGCAAAGATTGATGCGATAGGGTTTGTGGATGTAGGGTTACCCTTTTGATGTTCGCGGTAATGACGAGTGACTGTTCCGTGTGCGGCTTCGGATTCGAAGGTCTTTCCATCAGGGGTGATGAGAACTGAGGTCATGAGACCGAGGGAACCAAATCCTTGGGCAACAATGTCGGATTGAACATCTCCGTCATAGTCTGGTATTTCGAGTTAGTTTATCCCGAGTGTAAATATGAATCATATCAGAGGGAAAAACATACTCTTCAAAGCCATAACATAACCACCTGAACTCTTCATCATTTGCGCAACCATATCATCGATCAATCGATGTTCATACCAGATGTTCTTCTCCTCAAATTGAGTCTTATATTCCTTTTGGAAAATCTCCTCAAAGATATCCTTGAATCTACCATCATACTTTTTCAAAATTGTGTTCTTGGTGCTCATATACAAAGGTAATCCCTTGTTAAGAGCCATCTTGAAACTGGCATGAGCAAATCCGCTGATGGATTCATCGGTATTGTATTGGGTTTGCGCAACTCCTCCTCCTGATTTGAAATCATAAACGACTGTTTCGGTTGGCTTGCCATCCTTGGGGGTGAAAGTCATGGTAAGAGTACCTGGACCTGGAACAACCATATCTTTGGCCCGGTATTGATCTCCAAATGCATGACGACCGATGATGATTGGCTTTTTCCAGCCAGGCACGAGACGGGGAATACGTGGAATAACGATAGGTTCGCGGAAGACGGTTCCTCCTAGATGATTACGGATCGTACCGTTTGGTGAAAGCCACACTATTTAAGTACTTGTTAGCTTCTTTTCTAGCTTCCCATTTTCGGAGAAATGTGCAGTGTTTGTATAGGAAAGCAAAACTCACTCTGCTTCAAATTGAATTCCTTAACTCTAGCTTCATCCGGAGTGATAGTAGCACACTTAACACCAACAGAGTACTTCTTAATAGCTTCTGCCGCATCAATGGTAACCTGATCATTGGTTTGATCTCTATACTCCAATCCTAAATCATAGTATTTCAGATCAACATCCAAATAAGGATGAATGAATTTATCCTTAATATCCTTCCAGATAATGCGAGTCATTTCATCACCATCCAATTCGACAATTGGGTTCTTGACCTTAATTTTTTGGAAAGATGTTGCGGATGCCATGGTGCGCGAATGTGTAATGGCGCTGCCAAATCGTGGAGTGAAGATTGAGGATCGAGGTGCGCTGCGAAGAAGGGAAGAGGTGATGCTGCGGTGGAGAGACATTTTCGAAGAGGTGCAGACGAGGCTTTTTGATCAAAAATCCGACGGCTACTCTGCTTGGTCAATCAGACGTTTGAAATTCCTAGCTGCAATGCGCTTGCTTGTACCGAGGACTAGTGAGGAACGTGGGGGATTTCTTAACCGCGGGGAAGGAGAGGATGTCTCGGAGGGAGGGAATGAAGGGGGAATTGAAAACTCGAGGGAGATATTCTCGGGTCAGTTCTAGGGGGAATATCTTATAGGTGTGTATATGTATGTAAGTATATAGAAAGTCTAGAACAACTTTAAATACAGACGGGAAGGAGGGGAAGAAAGGAAGGAATTTTCCAAGCTCAAGCTTTCTGATCGATAACGGAGTCACATCTCAACAATGAATGACCAAACATCCACATTTTCAATACATAATGAATTTGGTACATCTTATTCAATTTAATTCATCCAAACCACACGTTGATCATTCTATTATCCCATCATTATCCAATCCATTGACTCCAACCTCCATTCTCCGCCAATTCAGACTTCACTCCCGCTTTCACTCTACCCATGGAATCTAGTCAGTACCTACCTACCTTGGAGGAACATTCATCTAATTGACCGAACCCGGAAGCTACAAAACAACGAAAAGGTTACACACAACATCATACAACCAGTCACTCAATTCATCCACCATAGGCAAAATATCTCTCATTTCCATACGTTCCCCAAAACCTCGAAAAATCCATCAGCTGTGCCCCGCCTACGAATCAAAAGCTCTATCCGACAACGGAGCATTTCCATGACATTTTCCTCTGCAGCTACCCCCACATCGGTTGATTTAGCAGCGGCCAAATGGCGGATTGGCGATGCTGCGTCCATTGCGAGGAGTCGTAGAACAAGGGTTCAATCTACAAGGGGATGCTTTGGAAATGGTTCCGGAAAAGATCGAGAGCTTTTTTTAACCTTATCATGTGGAATGTGGATGATATGGTATGGATGGAACCATCAAACTATGGGATTTCGAGAATTCGTCCGCTTCAAACTTACAAAAGGTCTAAAGAACGATTCCTATTGTAGACTATGCAGATGAGGTAAAGTATCAGGTATAGACCTTTTGTCAATGATATCATCTTCATTCTAACTTTCACACTCAAATATAACTAACAAGTAGCTGGGTAGCTACGCTCAACACCCGAGGCACAATGCTCTCTAGAACTACTTTCCCTTAATTCTACTCCCGTTCTACTCATACTTAGTACCAACTCACGCATAGCCTACTATGAAATAATTATAAAAGATTTGCCTTCTTCATTGTGACTGGTCATCTCACTTCTTTTGCAAGAATTTTTAAAAGAGATAACTCTACTTGTAGAACTTCTAATGTTACATACACCTTTACATCCGCGACCAGTTGACAATCCCTTCGCTCTCGCTAATACTTTCACCCCTTTTCCCTTTGACCTACACATCTTGATAGTATAGAATCTCCCCGAACAAATCACCAATGCATACATATCAATATCAAGTTGCCACAAGCATCCAAAATTATTTTATGATGAAAGTACCTAATGAGCATCGTTCCTTCGCTTTTACTCATTCCTTGACTATCCTCTATAAATCTTTGGAGAACGATAAGCCCTTGATTCCTCAATATTTTCCTTGCCCCCAGTATCGTACAAATGATGCATCTTTCCCTAACCCCTTTGCGTTTAGAAGTGAACCAGATATCAATTCCTTGCCCCGAACTCCAAGAAAGTATTCCATCCGTTCATCATAAAAGCTCCCTTTCCTTCCTATAAAATACAGTCTCAATATATCAAATTTCCCGAATTAGAACTGCAGTCCTTCGAGTCCTATAACTCCTTGAAGAGTGAAGTCGCAATGCCCTGAATACCTCCAGACGAACGATATTCAATGATCCAAGGATCGTTTAATCGATTGGACCAAAAGGATGCGGAGTTGGACCCGTGTCAACAGGAGATGAAAGTTTTGCCCTCGATTTACTCTTTCTTGAGCTTGAGGACGGAGTTGATTCGCCAGGTGGATCGGACTTCTTCTTTGACGGCCTTTGCCTTTTAGTCTTATTGATTGGATTGCCAGATTTGGGTGTATATCCACCATCATCTTCAGCATCTCGCTTGCGTTTGATTTTGGAGCTATTTCCACTCAGAGTAGCATCATAGCCAATGCCATCCTCTTCGACGATTTCTAAGGAATCTTGACGAGCGGGCGCGGGAATGTGAATGCGTTTTCCTGCTCCACGCAAGGCACCAGGTTTGGTGTTTATTTTTTCAATAGGACCTTCCCCGTCTTGAAGAAATATCTTAGGTTCATGACGACGGAGCCAATTGAGAACACTATGAGGATTCTTGAGTGTAACATCTTGTGCTGTAGGAGGATAGACGACAGTCGCCATGCCAGGGACTATATTAATTGACGCATCAACTTCGTGAAGGTATTTATCCATTTCCTCCAAAGACATGTAGCCGATTGGATGCTTCTTGCCAGGCTGAGGCTCGAAATCAGCCAATGATTCGGGAGAGACGTGAGGATTCATCAAAGATATGTGTGGAACGGTCGACATGAGTTTCGCAAGAGATTGGGTTGGTTTATCCGTGGTATTCGTGTCATCTCTGTCCTTCAATAAATCCTGGAGTTCTTTGTACAGGGCTTGACCTTCAGGTGATGTGTCTTCGGCAGCTCTCGCAAGCTCTTCTTTTGTGACTAAAGCAGGAACCTCTGCAAGAGCAGGTCCACCAAGGTTCAAATCGATGCGCTTGTCGCCTGGTATTTGAGCAGAGTTGTTAATGTCTAGTAGTAAATCCATGAGTCGACTGTAAATTATTTTGTTAGCTATAGTTCTCAAAAGCAAGTTCGAATCTTCACTAACTCATTTTCGCGCGCCAACTTCTTTGCTGTCTCATCTGCCAACTGCTCCTCCATAAATAAATGATTACTTTGGCGCATCGCTTCATCAAACTTTATTCGCATCTTGCGATACTTCTTTCTATAGTCGCACATATTAGTTGATGATATTGCAGATTAGAGAGGTAACTTTTGGGCAAGTTTGTGATGTTGGATTCGCAAGGTTGGGTTTGCAACAGCACAAGTGAGTAATTAAGTCATAGAAAACTAAGTACAGTCACACCCGTTCCTGACAGCTCTCCAAGTGAATTTCTCGGGAAGTATTTGAATGGAATTGAAGGAGCGACGTACCGAAACGACTTGTATGGCGGTGGTTTGACTTGATCTGGCGGACTACTGTGAGCACCATCCTCATGCTCTGTGATATCCTCACCCAAGATTTCTTCATCAAGGGACGACGTCATATTCGACTATGTTATCCTTAATAAAAAAATCGCGATGATTTCTTGATGGAATGGATTTCGATGAAATTATTGTTGTTGTAACAAAATCAAGGAAAAGATCACCGTCGTCGCAGAACCGAGATTGATCATTGAATAAGAATGAAGCATATATTTAGAGCATCATCAGGCTGAGAGTCATTGAGATTAGTTCAGGGTGAAAATAGCCGGTGCACTACAACAACAGCGCAGCCTTCTCAAGCTCATAAGGCTAGTCCAGACCTCGTTAGATCCGGGTCATCTTATCACCGTATCGCCGACGAGGAAAGTTTCTCGATAAGAAATTTTGATGGATTAATTTTATGGGAGGTTTATATTTGATCAATTGCCTTGTATTTCCAACTACAAAATGTCACCATTAATTGTTGAATCAGACACCATGGACTCAACTAAAGATCACAAGAAAGAGAGAAAGGAGAAGAAGGAAAAAAAAGAGAGCAAAAAGAGAAAGTCAAGTGCTATTACAGAACAACCAGTTTCCACAGAGTCAATGGACGTCGACACTGAGATGACAGGTGCTGATGAAACAACCCCAATTGAATCTAAAAAGAAGCGCTCGAAGAAGGAGAAGAAGGATAAGAAAGAGGAACCAGTCGGAGCTTTAGAGGAAACTGAAGAAGCGAATCCAACAGAAACTCCAGAAGAAGTCGCAGAAACAAATGACGATGAGACGTCCGAAGAACCACCAACCAAAAAACGCAAATCCTCCGTCGAAGAAATTGAAGTCGATATTACTCTCCCAGAACCTCCTTCGAAGAAAGCTCTCCGTCGTCTAAAGAAAGGCAAACCACTTCCTCCTTCCAAATCAGGCGCAGAATCCTCTCCCGAACCCGAAGGCAAAAAGAAGGCTGAAGTCGAAAAGCGTTCAGGTCATGGTGTGTGGGTTGGAAATTTACCTTGGAGTGTATCAAAAGAAGAGTTACGCAAATGGTTTGTGGAATTCTCGGATCTTGAAGAGGAGCACATCACCAGAATTCACATGCCCGGGCCAAATGATGGAAAGCCTGCGAACAAGGTGGAGAAGAAGTTTGGAAAGCCCGTTCATAATAAGGGATTTGCTTATGTGGATTTTGCTACGGAGGAACAGGTCAAGATGGCAGTTGAATTATCTGAACAATTGCTCACTGGACGAAGACTCCTCATTAAAGACAACAAATCTTTTGAGGGTCGACCAGAAAAGAAGGAGGCTGTGATTGAAGGAAAGCCACCCAGTAAGAAGATCTTTGTCGGCAATTTACGATTTGATGCTACAGAAGAAGTTATCAAGGAGCATTTCGAAAAGTGTGGAGCTATTGAAAAGATTCACGTTGCAACATTCGAGGATTCTGGAAAATGCAAAGGTTACGCTTGGGTTACATTCGAAGAAGTATCAGCTGCGCAGAGTGCAGTCAAAGGTTGGGTCTTGATCGAAGAAGATCTCTCTGACGCGGAGTCCTCATCTGAGTCCAGTGATTCTGATTCCGATGCCGAGTCCGATTCAGAAACTGAAACCAAACCAAAAGCAGAGAAGTCCAAGAAACCAAAAATCAAAACGAGGAAATGGTGGGTAAACAAGATTCAAGGACGTCCTTTACGTATGGAATTTGCAGAGGATGATCAATTGAGATATAAGAAGCGATATGGAAAGGATGGATCCAAGAACCCTAACGAGAGACACCCACGCGAAGAACGTGAATCTGGTGGCAGAGTTGGAGCTAATGATGAACCTGTTGTGCCGAGGGTTCCAGGAGAGAAGAGAGAGAGATCAGAGAGACCTGTTAAGAAGGTTGAGTATAGATCATCTTATGCGCCACGTCTGACTGGTGGTATTGTAGAGAGTGAAGGAAAGAAAACTAAGTTGTAGTGGTAAAATGGTGTCTGCGGACGGGTTGGAGGATTGTAATGAAATATATTTGTGAATCAAATTTCATGTTTTTCGCACCGAACTTCGGCGTACTCGTCTCGCCGTTTATGTTTGTCCATTTACCATGGCATCAATTATCATCATCTATTCTAGCGTGTTATCTGCTTCCATCACCGCAGACTCATGTCATTCACACCACGTTCCACTTCAAGGACAAGCTCACTCACACAGCACATATTTCACATTCACAGTTGAAGTAAGCCTGTTTCATTCATTTTCATTCATCTCACTCTCTCACTTCTCACTTCTCAAACACCCGCAGTACTTTCAATAAAAACCAAATCACTATCTCTATCCCTCTATCCTCCTTCACCCCCTTGCACAATATGATCCCCAATCATCCCTCATATCATACCTGTCATCTTCATGTAATCATCATCCCAGCCCTCGATCCCACTCCCGGTTTTATAACGAAAACATAGACTTCCCTCTTTCCCAACTCCAGCCATACTAACGGGATTCCAAAATACTTCTCCCATCTAACAACACCCACAGCCAATCCAATGCCCACTACCTTCTCGAGTACCCAGTTCGACTCATGGTCGTTTGGAAAATCGTACATATCTGCTGAATTTCCAAAAGGCTGCAGAAGTATAGTGTGAAACTGAATGTGTGGATATATGCCCAACCTATGTTATCCCCCCCCTCTAGCTCCACATCCTCCTTTCAGTATACCATTCTCCCGCACCCCATCCTCACATCCACCTTCCTCTCACATCTACTGCAAGCTTCCATCTCCCGCTTTCTCCCCATTAGCTTTAGGCTGGAAATAATCCACCATCTTTGCTGCTTGCTCCACATGCGGAAGAGCTTGTGATCTGTTCAGCGTATTGAGATTTCCATTCGAATACGCGTTACCAACTCCATTACCATTCTCCACTCGATTCAAATTTCCAAGAGCAGCTTGTGCTTGACCTCCAGACATCGCATTACCCTTCGCATTGGCATTCGTACGTACCTTGCCACCAGAACCCATATTAGTTCTCGCGACCTGATAATTCTGTCCATCTTGATTCAAGTTACTCGGATCTCCAGCAGGCGGTGCCTTAGCCCGACTCTTCCTCGGCCGACCTCTTGTCTTAGGTTTGGGTTCCTGAGCAACACTTGAATTATTCTTCGCGTTTGGATTCGAAGCCTGATCTTTCGTCTCTCCGTTATTTCTGTTGGAGTTTTGTGAGCCTCCCTTTTCACCACCCGTATTTCCCGTATTCTGTCGTTTAGCACCTGGGGTGCCAATAGCATTAGCGATCGAATTCGAAGCTTGTCGTTTGAGATTATTGGGATTTTGAGGATAGTTGAGTTGTGGTGGCGGCCTGCTATTTCCATTTTGTGCTTGTGACTGTGCTTGACCTTTTCCTGGACTACTTTGTGAATATCTGCGTGCAGGTTGTGATGGTGGCGGCATTCTAGAACTTCCTCTAGAATCCTGCTCTCGTGCTGCATCTTTTTGCTTTCGAAGGACATCGTCAAGAATAGCCTCTTCACGTGGATTTGTTTGCTGTCCTGGAGCATTAGCACACCTTTGTTGTCCTGGAATTCCAATCATCAGAGCAGAAACTTCAGAAGCTTCTTTGAGTCGTTTCTTTTCAGCTTTATCTCGTACATAGATCGCCTTTTGTTGTCTGCGTAAATACGTGTCGACCATATAAGTCTTTTGTGATTCGGTAAGCTTTAGCATGGCCTCGGATGATATCATTCCATGGTTCAGGATCTGCTGTAACATAAAGTCTCGCTGTCTTTGGGAAATTGTGATCATTGGTCGACTTGGAGCTTTCTTCTGCTTCTGTCGCCCTTGATGATCTGCTTCCTGTTGCTGTTGCTTAAGTCTTGCATTCGAGGTGAGAGCTGCCTGTCTTTGCGCTGCCTGTGGATCGGTGGTAGGATCAGGATTAAGACGAACGAGAAGAGGCTCAACCCTCTTATCCCATCCTCTAAGTTTCGCCTTGATTGTTGTGACATACCAATTCGGCATTCCTATTACTTCCATGCGTTTGATCGCCGTAACCCATTTTAAGTTCGTTGATTCGTTTGTCAAATCAATAGAACCACCTCTAGTGGTGGCCATGTCTACAAAAATGGTTGCCATAATCATCCTTGTCTCAAAACCATTAATTGACCTGGATTGAATTAAAACAGGAACGTAAAACTGTTGTCTGTCTAGTAAGCATTGCTCTTGTGCTAGCGCATTCAATTCTTCGAATGATAGAGTATAAAGAAAACCCAAGACGGTGATTGGCACCTCCGATTCGTATTGCTCAATTCTTGTTGCAGGAGCTGGGATAGGGCCCATTGGGATGTGCAGTCTTTGATTGTAAAAGCTCGGTCGGATGTTTGGTTTGCCTACAATTCATAGTCAGTGGTAATCGAAGACAGACATGCTCAGACAGATTGTACTTTTTTCGTCAATGAACCATTCCCAATCTTTTAGACCACCAAGCGCAGAGACACTACATGAAGGAAATTTATCCTTGAATGCTTGTTGCGATTCAGAATAATCGTATTGTAAGAATACTGCTTGGGAACGGCCTTGAACTTGGCGACGAAATTCATTCTGGTCATTTAAAAATCTAGAAAGCTGTTGGATCGACATGGCAAAAGTTGTGCTGGATCTGAAAGCTACCCAGGTAGAAAGACTATCTTAAATAAGAGCAAGTCTTGAGTGCAATGGCGCATGCAGAAATCAAAAAGGTTGATAGAAAGCGCAGTAGAAGCAGTGATTGAAAAAAGGTTGTGTCGGATTCGCTTTTCAAGTGGTACTGAGAGAAAAGTCGATGAATCTTAAGGTTTGGTTCAAGAAGCGGCTTTTCGCGGTCCTTGGTGGGAGAGAATAGAAAGTGAATACTTTTTGAGCCATACAAATGAAAGTTGATACAATGAAGAGGCTTAGATGACCAATAATAATGCAAACTTTAATAACAACAAATGCTTCGACATATCCAAGTGATGCTGAATTCTCACTCCCTGACAAGTCTCTATTGTCGGTACCCTACCATCGTCGCCATCTTATCTTCTTCGAATCAATGTGTATTTATGGTGAGGACAGTAGACACAATTCCCCGTCCGAAGACTCCTCATCTGAAAGCTTTATGATTTATTATCGGACGATACAATCTAGTTGAGAAGTTCTGTAACGAACCTTCTCCTGCCATTTTCACACAAAGTACGCCTTTCGATCTCTGCAACATATTCCAGTGGCTACAAATGCTCACGAGCAATATAAATTCTGAGATCATGATCTGCAGTAAGTGCTGCAGTATGGTTTTATTGCCATTTTCATGGTCTTTGGGGTGAAAAAAATGGGAGAGGTCCGTTGGCTAAACGAAGTCGTTATGCTGATGCTAAGTGAAGACTTTTGCAGACAGACTTTCTCCATCGAAAAGCCATGGATGGCAAAGCTTCGAGGTCCAGTAATTAGAGTTTCTGTTTGGGCACACTTGTGAAGAGAGGCTGGATGTCGTGTAGGCTTCGATGTATCAGTCTTGAGAAGCACGTCTTGCTTCTCGGTCCAGATGAGTTCTGGAAATCACCTGACAAGTCTGGCATATTCAGGTATTTGTATTCATCTTGAACACATACTAATAAGCCTTCAAATAGCAACCTAGTCGGTAAAAGACTATCGTGGTCTCGAGTTACGAGAATCTCCTGTCCTTCCTTCCAAGGAGAATGTACAGCTCCTCGTGTTTCTTGATAAGATTTCAAGGCTTTTTGTGTGTATTCTGTACCTATTGGCGAGGAAAGAAATCAAATAGTACAATGCTCCCACTCTTAGAAAGTATGGATTGTCACTGCAACGCACTTGCTTGCAAATGGTCAATGAAGTGCGTTTGTTGTGTTGCACAAGTTCACGTGCAGCCTGCAGATTGCTGACACATAGCGTGCAGGCTTTACACCATGCATCCTTAATCCAACAGCCTTAAGATCATACAATCACTAACCAAACACCTCAGAGTGTCGAGAGCTGCTCAAATGCCCCTTGACAAGCGACGAGTATGTCATTGTATTCGTGAAGTTAATGGATAGTCTCTTCGCTTCAGCCATCGAAACTTTTACGGTGGTCACGACAGGGTGAACATTTAAATTCCAGTTGATGACGGGATGTGGGCGTCAAGATGGGATGTCTGAATTCTCAAGTAGTCATACGGAGGTGAGAAAAGCTTCTAGAAACTGTATATCGAAGAAAGAATTCTTTTTATTGACAATCCTCGTTCCCTCGTTAAGATTGCTTTTCCACACCTAAAATAGGGGGATTCTAGACCCAGCCAGTACGTAAGCTCTGGGTTATCTGCCGACTGCTGGATCAAAATAATCATAAAACGAATGCCATGCGCTTTATACCCAAGCCTAACTCCGAATACAAGTGCCATATCATCATGTTTTTTCCATTACCAAGGCCCCATCGAAATCCTTTCGATTCTGCTTCAATTTAGTGGCCTTATCACATGCCAAGCTTCATGAACTAACCTTTTGGTGAGAGTTTAAGACTACAATGTTCTCATAGTCATCGATTGATCCCTCCATTAGTACTGCTGCGACCACCAACCAAACGGTTCTACAGTTGCACCTAGAGCAACTGACGATGGGTTGCTACTGTAGGGAGGGGTCTGAGGGAGGGCTCAGAAAGATGTATCGGAATCTATAGGATCGTCACTGAATCTGCTACGATTTCGACGGTGATGTATTTGAACTGGCGTCGCTGATGAAAATCCGGTAGTGTTAGCAGCTGAATGTACAATCTGTTGTACAATCTGTTGATTGCCATTTGATCGAGGCAACAATTGACTGGCGCGGTTTGTCATCGAAAGTTGGGAAATACTAGACGATGTATTGGGATTGATGGGATCGACGTTGAGTTTGCTGTGTCTTTGAAGATCAGGAGTTCGATTCGGCTTTGCCAATAAGAAGCCAGCAGTTTTCAGAGATGGCTGTACACTCTGTTGAGCTCGACTGGGTGGAAGTACTGGTTGACTGGGGCCGTTTCCCAATGTAGGCTTGAAAGTGGCAAATGAGTCTATGTCATGCGAATCAAGAGAGGAAACTCAAACCTCGAGAATATATAAGTTCTTGCCTATTTCATGCTTGGTGACGTGGATAAAGGTGGAATCCTATCATGCTCATTAGTTGTTTTTTGTCGGATGAATGGAAAAGTGAGTTCTTACGGGATCATTCCTAAAAGCGTCACTAAGCGCCTGTAATGAATGGAATCATGAGCAGATTCTGCAGTTATCATTCCAACGGTCATACACACCTCGGCCTCAATAATTTCCTCTCCTCCGCGAAAACTCTTCATCTTGCTCACCCAGTATTCATAGATGTCAGGACGTTCCTTGAACCAGTCTTCACTCGGCTTGATCCAACTATGTTTGTTGACACCCGCTGGTATTGTCAACTGACCAAGCTCACATAAATTGTCTTTTGTAACAGGTGAGTCCTTGAAGCTCTCTGCCCGTGCAAGGTATTCCCAGTGACGTTTGCTTGTATTGTAGCGATTGACAAACGTCGCAACAGTTTCAAACACATAACCCGATGTGATATACATAGTTGGCATGCCAGGAATGTAATCAGCCTTTCCTCCGCTGTTCCTGAAGATGCGTGTCTGGAAAGAATATCTCCGCTCCTGTGGCTGATCCATTATCCGAAGCGCTGATATGAATAACTGATATATGAATTTATGATATGAGTTTGTATAATGTAATGATAAGATGCTTTGTTGACATCGCCATTCATAATATATAGTCATCGAATATTTGGGGGGAGGAGCAACGAAGACTGAAGGTAGCATATTCTCTCAGGAAAAGAGTAGTTTAGTGTGGATTATATTTCTTGGATTACAGGAACGAAGCGCATAGATGTGTGCACATGATTCAGGAGCGAAGCAGAAACTTGGAAATGGAAGGATGTGGATAGAACCATGGTTCTCGATAATCTCTGGAACAAGTAGTGTGGGCTTTCAGTTTTTGATTACCATTTTATGTCGAGATTGTTGTAGATCCTCGATTTTCATCAAACAGAACGCACCTCATTTTTGAATTGCGATGCGAACTCTAGAAGATCCAGGTACGAAATATAATCAAATTTGGAGTTTATTGAAGAAGTCTCTGGAAGTTCTTGGATGAATCCATGGGAAAGGGACGTGTTCGAATCTTGAGTTGATTAGAGTTACATCAACTTCTATTGCTTTCCCAATCGTTATTCTTCGGCAGCGGACGCTTTTCTATCTGTTATGTTCAATGAAAGACAGGTTTAATGGGGGGTTCTTTAAAAGCATTTATCTTCGGTCTCGGTGGTCAGTAATCTCCCTTCTAGTCACCGCCTGTGTGGTTACAACATTGATTGAGATCTTCTCTGCATCCATATTCAGTTCAAATCACTCTGTAACGGCCAATAGCACGAGAGAGGTAATATTTTGGGCCCGGACTTCGGGTATTCAACATCAATATTTTCATATGATCGATTTCTCGTCAGCCGTACCTTCTTTGCCAAAAAAAAATCTGGTTCATTACTAGCCAATTTCATCAATATAGCAAGTGCGTTTCGGGCCATTGGCATGCTCAAAACTGGGCCATGATCATATGTAATCTAATTACTAAACCGGGAAAACCAAAAAGTGCAGCAAATATCCGACACAAACTTAAACGCAATTACCTAGAGATATCAGGAGCAAGACTTGGCGAGTGTGATATCAACCTTGTAGATTTTGACCCTAGCCTCCTCATACAAATTGCCATTCTCTTTCCCTAACAATATCTCGCGTGTTATCCCATTCAATTTCTCCGTTTCAATTCCCATTATGAGCCCAACACCCATTCTCTCCCCGCTAAACCCCATCTGCATCTCTCATACATCGCCTGACTTTTTTCTAACTCCAATCAGCTCCCACTTTGGCCCCTAGAAGCTCACTAGCCTGTATATAACTTCTTATCTAGTTGCTTTAGTTGGCAAGCTGATGACCGAGGGACATGCTGCGCTCGCTCATGAAGCATTCGATTATGTTCTCTTCCCTGACGGTCAAGTGGCTGGAGCTCCGCACGAGCAAATCCAGCACCATCCCCAACAGGATGATATATTGCGCCGACAATCTTTTTATCAGGACCAGTATTGCCCCTCATGAGCCCCACATCGTTGAGTCTAGTCTCCAGTTCGAGCCTCATCGCTCGCTCATGCGGAGGGACTGCTCTCGGCTCTACCTTTGCTCGGCTGTAGTCGAGAGAAGACTTGTCTGGCGTGGTGACAGGATACTCGTACAAAGGAACAGGTCCCGTTCTATTCGCGTTGATCCTTCGCTGAGACAGTTCTCTACTTTCGAAGAGAGGATACTGGTTTGGGCGTTGTCCTTCTCTATTGCCGTACCTATGAGGCATATTGTTTATGTCGTTTCTTGGAAGAGTTGGGGGAGCTCGATGAATCTCGGCAACGACTACCCTGTGGGGCTATTACCACGGAGTGTGTGGTATTTCTATGGGTAAGGTCAGAAGGGAGGGCTTGATTATGGGTGAGTGACTTACCAGATGATCCTTAGTATTATCAGAATTTCTTCTTCCGTAATCCATCCTGGGTTAGAAAATCGTGTAATTGGAGGTGCAGTAGATGGTCTGATGTTAGTTAGTACGATTTTTTTTAAAAGGCCTAGAGATGTGTTCATACTCTGAATGTGGTTCAATTACAGCTCAAAGAAAAATCACCGTGATATTCCTAAGGTTGAGATTTGATCTTAGATGACAAAATATCTAATAAGCAATGAGCACCGTGGGATTATCAGCCGGCTGATAATAGAAAAATGTATGGGTTTGGATCTAGCATTGAGCCCTCACTCATCATACTTATAGTTCCATTTCCTATGCACACAATTGTGTATCCAAAGATTAAAATTTTATATCAACATAGCAGTCAGTCGACATCAACACCGGTGACTGATATAACAATGCTACTCATAGCGAATCATCCGCTTTCAATAATACTTTCTGACGCATCTATTTGCAAGGATAGTGTACTTGACCTGCTTCTAGCAATGGCTAGGAGCCTGGACATTTCTCTTGCCTATTTTTACAGCTCTAAGACACCAACTTGTGTACCACTCTTAGCTCCGGCCCGCATATACTACTCCATAGCATGATACTGCAAGCGCCTTAGACGCTTCCATGCCAAAATGTAACTGTGTTTACGAAGACAGCCAGCGATGTTTCGAATAGCAAGTCCAGAGTAGTAGAGTAATTGGAAGACGGACGATAATCAGTCGCTTTCTTGGCCTCTGTATCTTACCAATGTGCCGGTACCGCTGGGTACCTAGTCTATGGTCTATTTTTGGGACTCCAATACTTATCGGATTCCGGATCACGAGTGATATTCTCTGACAGACATCAGATGCTAAGCGCTGCGGGGAAAAGCTCAGTACCGCTGCAAATCTCTGGTAAGTGATCAACGGCACTTCGGAACCCACCCCGGTCATTCACCCAAGTCATCGCATTTACCAAACTGTCGGTACCGCCGTGTGACTGATGGCTGCAGGAGCGTCTAGGAGGTTCGTTTCGCGTTTTTCGACATTTAGGAGACTAATCTGCGTGATTGGACAGGCGCTTGAATTTATCCGCACAATGTAACATCGTGCCAAAATACCGGCAGTGTGCTCATGAGGGGAAGTTTTTGAGCGCTTATCAGCAAGGGATGAAAGTGTGCTTGCTTATAAATACACCCCGCTTCATTGCTCGTGTCACCCGTGAGATGCAGGGCGGCGCAGCCCATTTGTTCAAACGAAAATATAATAAGTGAATCTTATAAAACTAATGACCCCCCTCGCTACCGAAAGTTCAATTAACCATTGATATATTTACCAACGGCATCTATTTATACCAGAGCAAAGTATTTTATTCCCACCTGGCACCACATCAGTCATTGTTTAGTATGGCTTCTGGTACGGAAATCCAGCCTCTATGGCTTACTTTCCTCAATGAACAAGCCTCGACATCATCCGGTCAGGTATTTGCTACAGAAATCTCAAAAATCTTTTTAGACTTTCTCTTCTCCGAAGACGAAGATGCTGTCGCAAACGCCGCAAAACAAATTAACGATTCGACGCGCGACTCCCTAATATCTGAATTCCAATCAATATACGACTTAGCGGCACTTATACCATACGAGGATCCTAAGCAAGATATGTTGTTACAGCTTATAGTTGAGCTTCTGAAACTTGAAAGGAAAACTTTCAAGGGTGCCGATGGCAAGGAGGGTAAAGACTTAGTGGGTCCGAATGAAATGCATACTAACACGATGAACGATAGATTTTCGAGGAAAGCCCTATATATCATGATATCAACATAGAAGTCAAGCACGATATGTGGAATGCGAGAAAGGATACGACGAATATCTCTTTGACATACATTAAGCTAACCTTACGCAGTGGATGAACTTGATTTGGATGTGAAAAACAACGACGAATATACTCAATTGTGTATTGAGTGGATCAATCTCTCCGCGTTCTATGCTCGCTGCATCGCTGCAAGTGTTGATGATCACGATAAGAATGCGTACAAATTCCCTGATGTTGAGATTTGCGAAGCTTTGGAGCCGGATTACGATCCTGCTCCAGGAATTGATACAGATTTTAGGGTTGTGAAAGCAACTAGATACATCATCGTTGCTTGAGAGAAGATCAGAGAGGACAATTTTAAATGGTGAGATGAACATGTTCCGATTTAGGAAAAGAAATTACAGGAATTCGAAAATTGTTATGAGAATGGATTTCCGAAGGTCGCCCCTTGTTTTGAGACAACCACCTGGCGAGAAAGAACTCATCGACACGGGAGATTTGGGAATGGATATCCTAGCATCTGTGAAGGCTGCGAGGAACAAGTTGAAGGATATGCGAGAAAGAATCCCCGAACAGGAGAGCAATGAAGATTTAGCTGAGAAAAAGGATGAATAAATCACGAGATGGACTCAGTTCAGTAATAAAAGTGAAAACATATTCTTTGACCGCGATGCTTTTGCGAAGATATTTTGGCATATTAGCGATGATCATATAAAAAAAAAATCTATTTACAAGAAGTCAGAAAGGCTAGGAACAAAAAATCTAATTTCTAATTCATAAAGGTATCATTAAACATTTATCTAAATCGTTTTTATCTAAATAAAGAAATCAAGCAACAGCACTTCCTGCGAAAGCCTCACTGATCTCAGTAGCGTTTTTCTCCAATGCCAACAAGATGCCGAGCAAAACCTTCGACTTCTGAGGGTTCAAGTATCCGGATGCGATATGCAAGGCTGTCTCACTGCTGACATCAGAAAGAGGAACTTCTCCATTTGGAGCACGAGTACTTTGGACGATGGGGATATTTAATCTGTTTATTACATCTTCCATGGCGTAGTTGAAGGATGTGCTCACACCTCCTGCACCGGCACCGGCAATCTAGTATGGTGGTTAGTTTGGATGTTTGTGGTGAAGAAATAAAAGAGAAACTTACAACTATGCCCTTGGCACCGCTAGAAACAGCATTGTAGAGGGTATCGTTATGCATATCTTGATTTGCGAACAAGATATCCACTCGAGGAATCTCGGTTACATTTGAGATATCGTATGCAATCTTTCCAGTAGGTTCAACTGGTGGGTAGAAGAAATAAGGAGTATTTGAGATGAGAGTACCCAAGTTGCCCATCTCGATGGCCTTGAATGTGTCCATAGTATTGGCATTTGTCTTGGTAACATAATATGCGGAAACAATACGATCATTCAGAACGACCAAAGCTCCGCGACCAACTGCCTTGGGACTAACACCCACCGTAATGGCTTCGAGAAGATTGAAAGGTCCATCTGCTGAAATGGCGGTGGAGGGACGCATGGATCCGACGATGACAACTGGTTTGCCGCAGTTGACAGTAGCATCCATGAAGAAGGCGGTCTCTTCTAATGTATCTGTACCGTGGGTAATGACTGCACCACTCATGGTATCATCTTTGCAAATTACCTCGTTGATTTGCTTTGAGAGGTCGAGGAGAATGCTGGAGGTCACATCTTCACTGCCAACGTTCGAGATTTGTACTCCAGCAACGTTGGAGACGTTGAGGACTTCTGGAACTGCGTCGAGGAGAGTTAGAATTCCCACGGCACCTGCAGTATATCCAGTCGTTGCTGTGTTACTGTTGCTAGAGCCTGCAATGGTACCACCTACCTTAAATTAGTACATATTTTAAGAGATTGTTAGGAGGATTTGTCATACCAGTTGCGAAAACAGTGATATTTGGCAGGCTTGCATTCATCTGAGTGAAATTAAGTCCATTGGAGTTGGTGAAGACAAATGGACTTGTATCACGCTGATAAACCACTGGGAAAGCAGAAGCAAATGCTGCGAGAGCAGTAACAGACAAGAAACATGAGAACATGATGAATTGGAGGATGTTCTTCTGGATGTGGAAAGGCGAGGTACTGATTACAAAAGGAAAACCATGATCTCTTTATACTCATCGCCAATACATCACGATATCTCACCGGGTAGAATCTTTTTACTGGCCACCAAGTATTTTACATGATAGTTTAGTGCGTCATTGCTAGACTTAGCCACCGAGTGTTTATCTTTATCAAACTAATCCTCCAATGCCAATAACATTATCAAATCATATGTCTGATTATTATCCAACCGATATCGCTGGGATACGAATTGACTCTCGGTCGTAGAAAAAAAAGCTCATCGTATAAATCGTGGGGTTGGTACCTGGTCCTGATGTTCAGGGAGAACGAAGGAGAGTGGAACAATGGAATGCGGGTAGATAGTCTAATGACTAGCGGAGAGGGCATTTTCAGGGGACAAGCCAACATCTCATTCGACTACCGACGAATAACCTTGCCAAGTCAATTTTCCCTATCGGATCTCGGACGTCCCTAAAATATCCGGCGCACAATCCATGATGCTGGGCGGGGCGGTATCCTTTTCAACCTTGATATTCAGGCTGTTCGTCATCGCTGCCCCATTGCACGCATTGATCTCGCTTCTTCGACAGTGTACGATCAGACACGATCATCCAAACTTTACATCTGGGGATGGATGAGGCAAAAGAATGGAAAGATGTGGATAATCCTCAATCTCTTGTGATAACAGCAAACTTGCCGGGTTTCTAATTGACTTTCCCAGACGTCATCGACATCTTATCATTTTGAGAAAACGACCATAGTTGGGGTCATGTTCATTCCTACGAGCTTCAGTGAGAATCCGGAACGGTTAGATAACGCATAGCTTGATCGTATCCTTATCAAAATTGGTAATCATTCTGTGATGAATCCGAAAGTCCTATCATGATACGAACGAAATAACAAATTGGTCAGTAGAATAATAATCGGTTCATTATTAGACTGAAAGTGGAAGTGGAAGGACGAAATTCTTATCGTGCCAATAGCGTGGCTGACTTGGGGGATCAAAGACGGTGCTAGATAAAGAATATAAGCCACCTTATGAACTATATGAGAATGTAGATACCTCATCCTTACATCCAAGGTCGATGCTGTTGAATTGTTGAAGCTCCAATTCATATTATGTAATGCCGCTCTCAAGACTCTCAGTATCTAACATGTTTCCAGACAAATTTAAGAATCTGCCAATAGTCAACCCAATCTGAACAGGCTAGGCAAATATAAACGACGATAATTGAAGAGACTACACTAATCATGATTCGTGGAATTGTCTTGGCTGGGAAAAAATCTTCTGCGAGAGGGGAGCCTCAAAGAAGAGAAGTGTTTTGAGCAATTTAACAGTTTCGAGACGTCGTTTCTTTCCGACCCGCGTAGAGGTCTGGGATGACAAGCTTCGAATCTGATGATGAGAGCTGAATGTACAGTACAATCCACTTCGCAAAGACCTGAGCCGTGCTGGTGGCATCTTTTGTCAGCGTAAGGTTAGCTGATCGCGTTCTCAATGAACATAATGCAGTTCTATAATCTAGCTGTTTGCTTTGATTATCCTCGTAATTTCGCATATATCAAGGAATCTGCACAATCACTTGTGTGTTTTTGCACTTGCTAAGAACTATTTGTTCATTGTTTTTCGGACATAGAAAGACACCGGTGATGGTAAAAGAGACATCAGAAATGGCATATTGTTGAGGAGAATTATTGATTTCTGTTGGATTAGTCATCCTTGTACCACCTCGCCGACGACAATGAAAGTTCACTGGGGAAAAATACTGCTTGAATCTAGTATGAAATCAGGATCAGCATACTGGATTCTTGAAAGCACTTCCTACGATTGGTACGATGGCACTGATCAAGAGCTTTGTGCTTCTCACGGTCCAAAAGCGACTGTTGATTTGAATATATCTTTTTAATGTCTGCATATTTCTACCCTAAGGGATGGATAGAGGACGACCATCTGCAACCTAGTCTTTCATCAATAATCCCAACCCTCAAGACAAACGGCCACGATTGATGTTCCTCGTTCCTGAATTTGAATGCACCATCCTTGGTACCTCTTAACTGGGAAATCATTTGCTTCCATAACTTAGGCCCATTTGTCAAGAAAGACGAACAAATTCATGTCCAGAAGCTGCATAAGTAATCTCCGTCCCCGTATCTCTGTCTCGACTCGATACCTAATTAACAAAAATTAGTAAGAAACCCAGTACTCAATCTCAAGAACGAACCCGTACCAATCCTTTATCTTGACCTGTACTTTTTTCTTGGAAACGCCATTTCGATTCGCGGAATTTTCGCTTCTGGATGCATCTCTTTCCACTTCTCAAAACCACTGCGAATATCGTTGATCGTGTTCTCATAATACTTCTCCCCGATACCGCTCCAGTGCTTTCACTTGAACAACGGATGCTTGCCGAACTCATCTATCGTCGTTACCAACCTCATCTCAGAGTACGATCTGCCTGTCTTGTTGATCGTAGTCCTTCCAACCACATAGGAAACCGATTCGATTACAGGATTGATGTAGAGGAACTGTTCGTAGATATACTTCCAAATCCCAAATCCAAATTCTGGTGACAGAGCCAACGGCCTATATCTGGGATCGTGCGACGTAGGTGATCCGTATAGAGCATAACATTGTCGACCAGCTACAAAGGCGATATGACGAGCTTGAGAGAGCAAGTTATTCTCTGTGCTACAACAGCGCATTGGTTGAAGTAAAAGGTGATCGGCACATGTGTATACAAGTGTATCCTTTATTGGGTTGTAGAACGAAGGGTATATATCGCCACTGGTCCCCTTTTGAGAACAGGTGAGATTGTGAAGGTATAGTTGCTTGTAGTGTTTAAGATAAACCTCGCGAGAATTGAGACAGGCGTAGTATAGCGCAGAAGGCTTTGGTAGTTCGAATGGCCCGAAAGAATCATGGTAGACGAGTTGTCCTTCTGGAAGCGCTTGGAACCAAATTTCAAGCTGTATCTCTTTAGGAAAGAGAGAAAAGTTCGTAAAGCATAAATCTATGTTGGCTTGGCGCTTTGATGAAACCATCGTACACCAATGTTGTTGTTGATGTCCTTTTCCTTGATGATAGAAGCTCAAAGAAGTTAAAGATGGTATATATTAAGAGCTGTTTATTTTTCTTCAATAATAAACAATCTCGGCTCGGAACGGGTGTTTCCGACTTTCATTGACCATATATTGTTAGGCTTGAATTTGATTTGCTCAACAAGTACGTCTTCAAGGCTACTATTTAATTGACCTCAGTTATTCACTAGCTAATTATCAAACTACTACACTCAGTTCGCATATTTATTCCAGATCTTCTAGAGCCCGTGCGAAGAATTTTTGCAAATTGAAAACAATCATGCATTTTTCCTTGTGTAGAAGGCTGCACGCTTGGCTGATAATACATTCGTATAGTGTGACTTTGATTTTAGAACCTCTGCCAGATACACGTCCATCCCAAATTGCTCAGAAGTCAGGACTGGCGGACTGATTAAGAGACTCTGTGTTTCACAGCAGTACACTACTCGAGATTGATGCCACAATTCAATCCATTTGAGGATTAAAAGGGGTAAAAGAGGTGTGAGGCAACGTATTGTCAGACTGCAATTGGAGACCACTGGGAGCCCCAGCTCATTGCCCCAATCGTAGAAAGCAAGAGTGTAGAGAAGTGTATTAGCAGGCTCTGAGTAGTCTGTGGAGCGCACATCCAAGAATATAATGGGCGCCACTCCATGCCAAAATGGATCAGATTGTCATCCATGGATACCACAACAAACGAGGGGCTCACCTGGGCGAGCATTTCGATATTTCATTCTGACAAAAGCAGTGATCTGGCAGAGCCATTTTAATGATGGTGGATGGAACGACTTATTATATCACCTCTTGCAGTAGGATGGAAAACCTGGCTAATCTGGTGTGTCAACACTCAACTTCTCCTGAAAACCACTAGGGCATGTCTTACTAGACGTTAGCTCACTTCAAGAAACCACAAATAATCATATGATGCCAAGAAACTGACCGCAGCAATATTTTACGGATTTCTGTTCTAACTTACAATTTTCTGGTAATGGATACTGGGAATAGTTATCACCTGAAGCGCATATACTTGTAAGGGATAGGGCGTGAGGTACCCTTGGTTTATGTCATATCAAACTCCATCGTAACAACCATTTGTCGATCATTTAGATAAGATTATCCGGGTAAAGGTGTTGAACCTCGCAGATATGCTTATTTTTGGAATCCCATCTCGGCGGCTATTTTGAGATGCTCAGCTACCACAGATCCCTGCTTGCACGGCTATCTAAATTGTAATTGGAACGTTTTGTATTACAAGGAGAACACTTCGGAATACTCTTATGATTCGCTCGTATTATTTTTGGCTTCATCAACCCGGTTCTCATAACCTTGGTGGAGATCTTTTCCGGTACTCGACTATCGTATCTTCAGACAATCTACGTCTCAGTCCGCATCCTGACCATAATATCGAGCGGTTATTTCCCATCTTGTGATGAGATGAGTGAAGCCTATTTGCCCTTCATCAATTAACCTTAAACAAATTTGAGGTGTGGCGTATACACTTGACAAAAAAGTAAATCCTTGGCAATTGTCTTTCATTCCTTTGTGGTGGTACTTTGAGATGCCAAGCTCCCCAGTATCCTAAAGTTAAGATGAAAAGTATATCCTAGTTTTATCCCATCATTGATCGAATGATTTCATTGGGGTTTTTCGTTTTGAGAGCTTGAGATCGAAGCCGCCACGGTACCAGAGTCAGCACCTCCGAGTTCCTTTGTAGAAGTAAATGCTCAAGGTCTACTCGATCAGAATGAATTTGAGTCTCACAATAAGCTGAAAGTTGGGCCGCTTGTGGATAGCTATCAATCTCTCATACAAAAAAATGCTCCTCTTAATGTGTACACCCTTTCAACACTTAATTTCAACCCCATATTTTCAGATCTACATCCATGTTCCTGGCACCTTATATCCAATAGATATCGCTAAACGATTCGCGAGCACTCTTAGTCTAATTGTCACAAATTTCGACGTAGCGATGGAGACAGGAAACCTCTGAATGGTTCGCGAGTGCTCCAGGAGGCTCAATTTTCATCCTCTGTATCTTTTTGATATCATCTAGGCGACCTGCGACATCAATTAGCGTACTCCGTCACCGCTGGTGTGAGTAGGAGACCTATCTGAAGAGCTGCAGGGTTATATTAGGTCCCTCTTATGGTAGTGGCATGCTCGCAAGTCTTGTATAAGATAAAAAGGAATTCCTACAGATCTTGCTGTCTATCGCTTCAATCCCCCTTAACTTCTCAACACAGCAGGCTGTGTCTCCTTAACTTTAAGTGCTTATCTATATTATTATTTATTTTCGGAACTTTTCTTGTCAACATCCACAGTACCTTATCCTACCCTTTGAAAAAATTATTGTCATTTCGTATCCACAAATCATCATGTACACACCATCTATTATCATTGGTTTCCTCACCCTGAGTCCTCTTGTGGTGGCCCACGGAAAAATTGCAGTTGTTACTGGAAACCTTGGTGGAAACGGTACTGCGCTAGGAATCAAAGGAGCTGCTGTTGCAGATACTGGGTCAAACTCCAAGACGGAGTCCGATACTACGGTATTCGATATAGGTCGTAATAATTGTGGACAAACAGAGGTAGTTGCACTAAATGCCACCCCGTTCATCAACTATCAATTAACAGTTTCAAGGCTGCAGGAAGAAACAAAGCAGAGTCCGGTGTGACTAAGTCAATGGCTCTTTCGGGCAACACACTTCCACAAATAAGTACCGACAATGCATCCATCTCGGGTACTTTCCATATTGTGACTTCTGATGGTGCAGGTGTATGTATAGAAATTTCCTTATTACCGAGAAACATGATCGCTGATATGCGCGTAGCCTCTTACGGCAATGGTCGACACCACTGGAGAAGGTGATTTTTCGAATGCGGTCAAGGCCGTGGTTACTACCCAAATACCAGGAAAGAAGGGCAACATAAAGAAGAGTAAACAAACAAGATGGGAGCGAGTTATGAGAAGCATCGGTTTGATGAAAAGAGCCTCAAATATCAACGAAGACTATGTAAGATAGTTGGTCCCTAATCAACCGTTTTTCAATATTTGCTAACCAAGTATGCAGCCATTCAGTGTGGATATTCCGGCTGGTTTGACTTGTACCGGCACTGTAGCAGGGCAATCCAATGTCTGTATGATCAAGGTTGTGAACCCATCGAATGCGGGACCTTTCGGTGGATGCGTTGCTGTTCAGCAATCTACGGGTTCGAACGCAACGGCTTCTGCCAGAAGAAATCTTAAGCCCATGAAATTTTCCGTTTGATAATAAGTGGTATTATATAGCATGCATGCAACATCAAGGAAACAGGAACCGTTAGTGGAGGCTCTACCCCGGATTAGTCAGGTGGAGCTAAAGTTTTGGGACGTAAGCGGGGAACGGGTTTCATAGGGCTGTACAAGTCAGATAAGGTTATCTTGTATATATGTGAATCGATGTGTCCATGAAATTACTTTTCTCTACTTCCATGGCCCCAAACATACTGCTGAAGATCAATGTTGTGATTGAAGCAATGAATTGTTCATGCAGCGGACCTCAAAATACCACCAATGTACTTACTCATTGAGTAGCAATGGACCTAATTTGATTGGAGCGGAGTATTCATGGATCCTGATATCGATAACAGCGGTGGATCGAAAGATTCTGTGCTCTGTACTTGAGTACCGTTTGAAGCGAGGTGAGCGGAAACACGACCACAATCTGTAGATATCCGCCTGGAGTTCATATCATATATGTCCATCTAATAAGCTTTCGGGTACATCAGGTTCAAGTTAATCTTTCGCTGGATCTAGTTCCATTTTATCCTCGGCATTTGTCAACACTGAAAGTCAGCATAATCTTTTCCAATACGTTATCGCCGGCTCGTCACGTGCGAAGCTCTGATGAAGCTATTACGAGAAGCGACAAGATAACAGCTACAATCCTTCTTCCATGGCCAGATAAGAATTCCTCAACTCATTCGACACTCAATCTATATGCATCTTCACGTCAACCAACGAATTTCCTTGATTTCCTTTTGCATGTCTATCTATGGATTTACAAATGCCTCAATAGCATCTTTCAAGCTTGTTCATGCATTTTTGGCGTCAAACGAAGCTGCAAGAAGCCTCAGCAATGCACATTTCCGTCCCCGTGTTCCATTACTTGTATATCTTTGGTTTAAAGTTTTTGATAAATCTATGATGGATGAGTTCTGATCCCCTCGGTGTTTGTATGGGTCATAGATGAAGAACTTCTTACAGCCGATAATTTGTCAATTGGTAATGATGTACCTGCATATCTGTGGAGGGTGGTCTGTACTGTATTCCCTCACCTCCTCTTGCCCGATGTTCTGATGCAAATGTTCTGTCATTGTATCTTGTGAATCGGTGGCAATGCCGATATCAAATATGCATCTCAATTCCCACACCAAATAGGCAGTGATGCTCAGTGTTTATTTTCCATCCCACCTTCTGATTTATTTCATATTTTATCTTCACTTTCGTGAAATGGGCCAGTAGTAAACTTGTTCTTCATTTATTTTTCCCCCAGAGATTTCTTGGTACTCAATAAGGTGGCTGGCTGTACACAATGAGTGACCAAAACGATTCCAAGTCATCATGGCTTTCGAAAGTCTGCCGACCTTCAGCCAATACCTCGCCAACGTCCACCCCCCCAAACGAACAATCTTCACTTCTCCCTCGATTGACCGACGTAGGAGAGACTTATGAGCTGGAAGACGACGGTACAACTCCAACCAAAAGATGGCTTGCCGAATTTCTCCTCCTGTTACGAGGTTCGGTTCCTGTTATTCTCGCATACGCATTGCAGAACTCTCTTCAAACAATCTCAGTCCTGATAGTTGGACAGCTAAGTCCCGAAGCTCTAGCGACTGCAGCTTTCAGTTACATGTTTGCAATGTCTACAGCATGGCTTATTGCGCTTGGTGGAACTACGGCTTTAGATACATTGGCATCGTCATCCTTTACTGGAAGTAAAAACCCTCACGATTTGGGTGTATTGTTACAGCGAGGTTTCTTTGTTTTAACTGCATTTTATATACCAGTTGCTATACTATGGGCTTGCTCCGCTCCAGTTTTCAGATTGTTGGGACAGGAAGAGTACATTTGTGTTGATAGTGCTAGGTTCTTGACTGCGTTGATACCAGGTGGATTAGGATATATTTACTTCGAAGCTATGAAGAAGTATCTACAAGCACAAGGTATTACTTACTACTCTCCACTTTCTTATCTTCACTGTTACCTGTATCTAATTTGTTGTACAGAGATCATGCGGCCAGGCACTTACGTCCTTCTAATAACCTCCCCCCTGTCTGCCGGTCTCAATTATCTCTTCATCTACACCTTCAATTTAGGTCTCATTGGCGCTCCCCTCGCTACCGGTATTTCGTACTGGCTCTCCTTTCTTCTTCTAGTCCTTTACTCCCGCTTCATAACCGGACACCAATGCTGGGGCGGCTTCACCATTCAATCACTTCATAACCTCGGAACATTTTCCCGTCTTGCACTTCTCGGAGTTATTCACGTCGGGACCGAGTGGTGGGCCTTCGAAATTGTCGCGTTAGCTGCCGGTAGATTAGGTACCATTCCTCTCGCTGCCCAAAGTGTCATTATGACGACCGATCAAGTAATGAACACAATACCATTTGGAATCGGTGTAGCAGCCAGTTCACGCGTTGGAAATTTGCTAGGAGCAAGAAACGCAAAAGGAGCAGCTAGAGCGGCTAATGTAGCGGCTTGGTTGAGCATGATTATGGGCTTGCTGGTTTTGATTGTCCTTATGAGTGTGAAGAATTTCTACGCGAGGATATTTAACGATGATTTGAGAGTTATTAAGTTAACGGCGGAAGTCATGCCATATGTTGCTTTATTCCAGATAGCAGATGGGCTTAATGGGAGTTGTGGAGGAAGCTTGAGAGGTATGGGGAGACAGCATGTAGGTGCCGCAGTCAATTTTGTTAGTTACTATTGCGGTGCGCTGCCATTGGGTATCTGGCTCGCGTTTCATGGATGGGGATTGGGAGGACTATGGGTGGGTCAGTGTATCGCGCTTTATAGTGTCGGTGCACTGGAATGGGTTATTGTTGCGTGGAGTGACTGGGAAGGTGAAGTCAAGAGGGCCTTTGGAAGAATGGAGGTAGAGGACCGGATTGAGACCGGAATCGAGGGATTGGATGTGAGGGAGGAAACCTAATGGATACTTATTGCTGTAAGATTGATGGACTTGTGAATAGCATCGCCATATCGTTATATTAGCTTTTGATAGAGGTTTCATATTGCATATAAAAACTTTCAAGAGCTCAAGCAGTACAAGGGTATCTCAAAGACTGTTTTCGCTTCTGTCGATATACAACAGCAGCTGCCTGGAGGAAGGACGCCATGAATAGATGATCCTAGCTAGTTCAATTTGATCTTGGCTTCTATGGCTAAAACTCTCTCTCTATATTGTTTGATGAGGCGCTGCTGGATTGTATCCCGAAGATGCTGTCGACAAGTAGCTTTGGGTTAGGGCGCAGAGATACCATCTTACATCCAGACCTTTCGGTGGTTGCTCGGTACAAAGCTTAGACTTATTGGCCTAGAATTTCAGACACACACATTCTTCAGATCACCAATAGCGAGCCTCTCGATTCTGATTGGCTCAAATAATTAATGAGTAGCTCCAACACTAAAATGATGGCGCAGGTTTCTCCATATCACGTGATCGTCATCAATCAAGCCGATAAGACGGCGAGCAAATTTATTTCGGCAAAATTCATATTTCGACTATCTTCTCCTCACCACAAACCTTCAACATGCCCAAAGCAAAGAGTGGCAAGCGCAATGCTGCCGCTGCTGGCACGCCTTACGAAAAGGCCGCTGCATTAACCAATTCATTCAAGCATAATAAAGATTATGGACAACATATTCTTAAGAATCCTGGTGTCGCAGAGGCCATCGTAAAGAAGGCGAACCTCAAACCTACAGATACAGTCCTCGAAGTCGGTCCAGGTACAGGAAATTTGACTGTGAGGATATTGGAAAGCGCAAAGAAAGTCATAGCCGTCGAAGTCGATCCTAGAATGGCTGCAGAAGTCACAAAGAGAGTTCAAGGAAAGCCAGAACAGAAAAGATTGGAAGTTCTTTTGGGTGATGTGATCAAGACCGAGCTGCCACATTTTGATGTGTGCATCAGTAACACTCCTTACCAGGTATGCTTTTATCCATTTTGTTTCTTTGATTTTGAGTGGAAATTTAACACTCGAACAGATTTCATCACCACTTGTCTTCAAACTCCTCTCCTTGCCAAGCCCACCTCGATGCAGTGTTCTCATGTTCCAGCGCGAATTCGCTCTCCGTCTTACTGCACGCCCAGGTGATTCACTTTACTGCCGATTGTCTGTCAATGCGCAATTCTTCGCCAAAATTACACACATCATGAAAGTTGGCAAAAATAACTTCAGACCACCCCCACAAGTCGAGTCTTCTGTGGTTCGAATCGAGCCCAAAACAGGCAAAGAGCGTCCAGGAGTCAGTTGGGAAGAATGGGATGGCATGCTGAGAATATGCTTTGTTAGAAAGAACAGAACTATGAGGGCTAGTTGGCTCGGAATGAAGCAAGTACTTGCAATGTGTGAGAGGAATTATCGAGTTTATTGCTCAACGAACAATATCGCTCTTGACGAAACCCCAGTCGAGGATGAAGACGAGGATATGGACTTGGACGATGCCCCAATAGCTGAGGAGGGAGAGGAAGAATGGGGAGGAATGGATGTGGAGAAAGGTGAGGAGGTTTTTGATGAAGAAATGCCATCCTTCTTTCAGGAACTCAAAGGAACCAATAAGCCTAAAACCAAGAGCAAAGTACCCAAGACTCGAGTCGCAGAACTCGTTCGAGAAAAGATACGCAAGGTTCTAGAAGACGTAACTGAGTTAGCTGACACGCGTGCCGGAAAATGCGATGAGAACGACTTTCTCAGATTGCTGTTTGCATTTAATGAGGAAGGATTGCATTTTTCATGATTGCAATTTAAATTTTCAGGGATGGGTAAAATGGTGTTTATAGTGTATGTAGGCATGGAGTTGGTGGTGGGGGGTTTACATGGTTCACATTTGATTCCCTACAAAGTTGGGATTACTGCATTTATGATTATCCCTATTTTTGCTTCTTCATGGTCTTCAAGAGTGCGGACTACAGTCCGACAACCAGAAGGTTTCGACCTCAGAATCCAATCAAATAGTTTCAAACCGTTGAAATCCTCAATGCACTCTATATGCTGCACTGTTTGAAACACGTAGGTCTTACATCTGAATTGTCAGTCTGAGCTTTTAGACTCACTGTGCCAAAGCAGGTCTTTGGGTGCCTGAACAATGCTTCACATACCTAGGTTCGACATGTTTGCGTGAATCCTTCTTAGCCAATCTAGGCACCTGTCCATCAAACCCTCGGGTGGGGTGTCGTAGAGATATACTATGAAATTCACATCAAAGAGCGCATCGTGGGAAAAGATTGGTACGGTGTGTTCTTTTGATTAAGTCTTGCATTATCCTAATTTATCCTTCTCATGCAAACTGGCACATCCATTTCCTCCTTCTATTTGTACATACAATATTCTGTTGACACGTTCCAACAGAGACCTTGATATTAAACCACCATTTCACAAGGACAATCGAATTGTCCCCTCTAATTGAGGGTTCCACTACCAATGCATCTTGGGAGTGGGTAAGTGTTTCCGGTGCAAAGACTGATAGTTCCAGAAACCCAGCTCAATCCTCCAAAAGCCTGGCTTGAGTAGCTATCGGCTTGGTAAGTACTGGTGTCTGAGGGCTGGCCAATACATCCGGTGTCAACGTAACCAGATTTTCTAAGAGTGTAAGGGTTGGAGACGACGGCTCCATATTTGCCAGCTGGGACGGTGTATGTGTAGGCAGCAGTGTAGGTAGAAGTCCATGTGTCTGTGTAGGTAATGCCATAATTGGTTTGGAGGTAATCTTTGATGAGGGTGAAAGTAGCGCCCTCAGAGACAGCGATCGAATTTGCGATTGAGTATCCTTGAGTGACAGCGACTGTGGAAGTCGTTGTTCCTGCCTTGACGACGGAGGACATAGGCACGTCCCAGTTCAAGAATTTCTTGTCAGGGTTCTCGCGAATGACAGAGTTAGACTTGCAACCACGCTTGGCTACAGAAGATGGTGGGTTGCCGCCGGAGGTTCCATTGTAGCCTACAAGAGGAGCAGGTACTTGAGTGATGTCGGAACCGTGGTGGAGCTTCCAGAATTCGGCTTTGTCCATGATTTCTGTGCGGCCATCTTGGCCGAAGAGAATGATCTTGGACTCATCCAAGTGGCGGGGAACTGTAGCTGCTCCCACAATGGTGGAGCTCAACAAGAGGCTAGAAAGAAGCGAGGTAATATACATTTTGAAGTGTTGATGATATCAATTGAGGACTTGAGAAGTGTTAATTAGATGGAAAGTGAGAGAGACTGAGGCTGGATGGTTGTTCAAAGTCGCTGTTGAGAAGTTGGAGACCTTATATACTCTTTCCTCGTGGAGATATCCCGAATCTCTTCCTCAACATAATTGACTTGTGGATAATTCAGGCCACTTGGAAAACCTTCAGACTCTCAAGGTAGATTGGGATGAACACTCAAGATAGGAGAATTACATATCCCTCGTAGTCCTCAATCTCTACGAGGTCACCAATCATCAACAGCGTGCACGCTCATGACACAATGAAACTTTTCCCAGGTACCAACAAGCTTTTCCTAAGAAGCAGCCGAATAATATCCATAATGCAATGTTGCCCTTAAGATGACCGCATGATCTGGTAATTCTGCGGCAGCAACCGCAAATAGCGGGATCGTCTCCCTTCACCGTTTCAAAGTTAATGAAATCACGATCATCCTCGTTTTATGGGGAACAAATTTAAACTTAAATTTTTTCTAAGCCTCATGTTCTGCCCTGTGGACCGAAGTTTCTTTTCTTGGCATTTAATCAATTAGAGTTTATGATGGTATACTTCTTCATAATTACCATTCTAGGGAACTTTTGACAGCGATCTTCTCCCCTTCTTGAATGAGATGGCGTTATTTCGGTCAGTGTCTTCTCAATTAGGCATTTCGCCTCATGGTCTTGTCTTGATAAAGTTCAGCAACGTTGATAGGGATGAGTAACGCAATCACGTTTCTGTCATGTAATCATGCCTGCCTATTCGTAAGAGAAAAATGAGGCCAAAATTCATCATTCTATTAAATTCTATGATAACACAATCAATAATAAAATGTTAAGAATCAATAACATCAAATAAATACCTGAATAATTTTCAATCATAAAGATTATTTAAACGTTTAATTCTTTCAATGGAAATGGAACATTTGGGGTTATTGAAGGGCTTTGCCAGTGGTGAATTCCGGCCTGTATTTTCTCCCACGTACTGCGTAGAGCCTGCCAAGCGCAAGTGCCATCAGGGTACCAGTGATGCCTTCATGACAGATGGTTGATCAGTACCGAACTGAGGATGTGGTGGATGATTTCCTGCATCGAATGTCATTTCGGACTCAACGCACCGAAGTTGTCCCAAATATACTGAGCCTCGTAGAAAGTCTAAACGTCGTGGTGACTGCAGCAGATAGAGTATTGTGATAACTTTGTCGTTATACGAAGTACAGGTATCGATCTATCTTGAGACGAATTGTATATCGTAAGGTTTAATATCGGTCTTTGTGCGTAAAGCCTGTTGCGCCGGTCTGTTCCCCAGCCGTATTATTGTCTATATATCCCATACTCCAGAAACTGCATACTACTTCTCTCCAGCTTTCTATTCTATCAATCTTTCAGCTATCTCTACTTCTAAATCACACATCCAACCCTCACTCTTAACTTCCCATATTTCCCAATCTCACTACTCTACAATCAACATGCCTTCCATCCTCCTCAAGACCATTGCTCTCCTCTCGCTTGCCAGCTTCACACTCGCTGACCTTCACTCCACTGGCATATGCGTAGACTACAAGAACGATGCCGTATGTTCCAATCTCCTCACTCCATCCCTCACAATCTACATTATTCAATAGAACTAATCAAAACCTAGATTGTGTACAACAGTGCTGCTACCATCGCAGCTTGCACAAACTATCGTAATAGAAACACTGGTAGTGAACAATGGGACCAATGCCCCGATTGCAACATGATTACAACTGGGACTCCACATTGTCGATCCGATGCTTGGCATATTGGTGGTGATGAGGTAAGCTCCTATCTAATTTTCCTCTTTGTCATGAAAAATATGATGATACTGTTATTTTGGAAAATGTGGAATAAGAGACTAATCACTGTGTTAAGTGGTACTACTATTGCCAGCAAAACAAAGCAGGTGATTCTTTGGCAAACTAAGCGCCCGACGGACGTTGATGGGAGAAAGAAGTGTACTTTTATTGGAGGGAATTCTTGGCGAGCTTTTGGGGGAAGAAGATTTTGGCAATTACTTGTTCAGCGACGCGAAATTTGAATAATTCATGGCACGACGCTATGTGTCCGATTCATTCACATATTGAATGATCTAATCGGTAATAGAGTTATGACTATCATAAGAGATGGAGATTCAAATGATACACTTTTGATCAATTAAGAAATGAGCATGATTATTCAAGTGCTTCTGCAACATACACTCGAAAATGTTGCTCACTAATTCCCTGTCGTTCACTCTCCTCGTAATTTATCCCTGATTAATCTCTTCAATTCGTAAGCTGAAACCAACGATCACCTCTATGACCCGCTGCCAGATCCCCCACAAATCTAAGTCTCGTACGTACTCTTGATCTCGATAATCGTGTGATTCTGACCATAGCTCTCAAGTGTTTCTCTTACGGATGAACCCCTGGATTCACAAAAGTAATGAAAGAGTTGTGACAAGTAATCGCGAATCTCGGTATCGCTGCACTAAAAAGTATTTCTTTCGTATAGTATTGCCTCTGAAACCTTGAAGGGTGTATCAGCTCGATAGACACCAAAAGGGGAAAGAACGAGACACGCGAACGTTAGGATGAGAATAAACATGAATGGCGGCTAAGCCGATTGATTCTTTTTCAACACGGAAGCTTCAGAACTTGAAGGGAGGAGAAGAAGCATTGCATGTTATAATAATCAATGGCGACGTTTTTGATTCCCTCTTTCCCATTTTACTAGTTTATTGCTACGAGCCTTGCTACTTCTCCTATAAAATCTCAATGCTGTAAATTCAACCACCTCTATGGTTCTAGAGTAGCAGAGAGTAGCATTGAACATCATTTTCTCGAGGTCCCGGCATTAGAAATCATCTGCAGCACAATTAAATCAAGTAACAAATAACATTCACTTGAACATGTATCAGCCTCCAATTGCGGTAACCGTTCTCAACTGCCCTCTGGGCTAGACGTGTAACAATTACTGAGAGTTGATCAGTTGAGTAGTTCTAAAGAGTTCTCTGCAGTCAAAAGTTACACAAGGCGTAATCACTAGGAGGACAAGTGGCCGGTGAATCTATGCGCGATAGCTTGCTTGCTAACAGAGAGAACCACAATGCCCATTATTTGTGGCAGTATTTCGATCTGTGAACGCAAATTGAAAATCAACAATAGGTTTCCGGTCATACCGTACGTTTTCGAAGTTGAACAAGGGTACCGACCGAAAACTACTCATTGGCAAATACAAATTATCAAGGAGCAGCCAGGACAAGAAACTTTTCTCGAAACCCTGATCTTTGATCAAGTGCTGATTTAAAGCTCCACAGTAGACTTTAGATAGAAAAGCGCGTACATTCCAAGTTTCTTGATGCAGAGAATATGCTGGATTAATAGTGGATGAATTCGTACCAATATCACCTGTCGGATTCGCATCCACGGGAGGTATGGACAGCTCTATCATGATTGTGAAATATTTACTAAGGAAAGAGATTCAGAGATACGAAAAACTCACAATCAACCGACTATGTAATCCGCAATGACTTTCTCAAAGATACATTACATTCCACAAATCGCTTGGTAAAAAGATACGAAACCGGCATGTTATTAACTTGTAGCCGCGCTAATCAATATCATTCGCGGATATTTGCTTCGTTGATTCATCCTAAACCAAAGACCGATTTCTTGAATCAGGACGAACTAATGGATCTCGGTGTTGTAATTCGTATACAATAGTATTGCTAGGGCTGGTATTGAGAGTGATATACAATACATATACTAATATGTATGATCGTTGATGATATCTACATCTCTAGATGTTATATGAAAGAGGCTGTACTAGAGATATACTGAGATACAGGAATTTCTATATTTTAAGTTGAGATTTACATATTTTGATAAACCCTTTCCTCATCGGATATAAGATTTCTCTAAAATATATAGATTCCCAGTAACTTATGAAATATGTAATCTAGTGTATTTTAACATATGAGCAATACTCAATGTCATCGAAATTTGGAATACTCCCAGTGAAATATAATTCAACAAGAAGTACTCAGTATTGGGATATCTTCATAAATATCAATAAGTACCACTTCATTGAAACGTAATCAAAGTAAGGAAAATATCAATCACAAAATTGATGGACATACCAATGCATATATTTCATTGGAAAAATATTTTTTATGTTCAAATTGGTAATCTATGTTCAAAGAAAGCTTCGACATCAAAAGGATATCTGAAGCAAGTTATAAGGCTCAAACAGAAGCCGACGTAGCACTAGTATACATTTAAGCATCATTGAACAGTACTGTACTGACAGTATGTCGAGGAACTGACCTCGATCAATAGAGAGGAGATAACCCAACGCCAAGCACCATGAACTCCACCGCACCCATATACCAAATCATAAATCATCTCATCATGTATCCCAAAACCTCTATTCTATACGCCAATTTTCTATTCAGGCTACACGAGCGAATGGGACTCGATATTAACATCATCCTTTTTATCTCCCAAATAATCTATTTCCTCCTGGATGGCTTCAGGATCCGCAAGTATTTCTCTTGAATTTCTGTACTCGATTTCGTTGGGTTGTATAATCTTTGGGGTGGGACTATTTTTGACTTCGATGTATGGTTTAGGAGCTGATCGGAAAAGGGGTCGGAGAAATGGTATCGAGGACGTTATAATGACAGTACAGTTTTCCACTGCGCACCATATGATGTACCTAACCGAAGTGACTATTATGCTGATTAGATTTTGTTGTTAAATATATATAGGCTGTTTAGACTTACAGGTAATATCATCATTACTGCCCATTATGCAGTAGGTCCTGATGACGGCCGCGATAAAAGCACTAAGATAATTAGCTAAGTTTCGGGATCTTTGAGAGAAAAAAAACTTACAAAAGGCTGACTCCCAATAGAAATGACAGCAGAAGCTTCAGATGCATGGGAATATGAAGATTGATGACCATTGCAACCGGTAGAATTGTGAGAACGAGATCTGTCAAGGAACTGGATGATCCTTGAAAATAGCCAATAGCTGCTTGGGTTCCCATGGACCAACATTGATCTTCATGTCCAACACGATTCCAGTTGTAAGAAATATCGGAACACTCGAAGAATATTTGTATGAGTGCCATCAGATTTATGATGGCATTTTGGGCAATGAGAAAGTAGAGGAATCGTCTTATATTCTGCTGGTGTCCAAGGATTCGTAAGAGGTAAACGGCAAAGGATATTCTACCGAGTGTTGGTGATATGATACCTGCAAACGATTTAGCGATGGATGAAGCCGACAATTTGAGGATGACTTACCGAAAGGCTCTCCGATAAATTCAGCTCTTATAGCCATCGCGGCTTGTGTCTCGGTAAGAAACATAATATGTCTCCCTAATCCAAAGGATATACCCCAAGTATTAAGTGATATATGACAAATGCCAGAAATCTTAGGATTTTGTTAGTGTAGTACTAGAAAAAGGGAATTGATCACATACCATAGCAAGTATAACTAAGAGATCCTCAAGAGCAAATGCGAGATGGTACTTGGCTTTGGCGATCAATCTCAGCATTATTAATATTCCGGAAATCCCGTATAGGGGCCAACATATTAGGAGTAATCGGGACCCTAAAATCATTTAGTATTGTAAACAAATCGATGGCTTTCAAGGCAAATACCTATGGAAACATCCTCAAGACTGCTTTTTGACTCCATGAGGAAGGTGTTTTATCAGGAGACGGAGGAATATTGCTTTGTCGTGATGCGGATGCCAATTCAAGGGTATAAACAAGCAGTCATGGTAGATAGAGAATGAGACAATATTACGATAGAATCAATTTGGTATGGGGATTGAAATGTACTTAGATGTAGTGCCAATCTTTGCCAATAATTTAGGGCGGTTCTACTAAGACGTGAAATAAAATCAGATTCCTATGCCAAACCATCCATGAAACACGTAGAATCTTCCAAGCAAATTCGTAAGGCTATCCTGCTGGAGGAAATCTTATGTAATTATTGCTCATGTGAGACAATTAAGATACGAATATAGCTTGAGACGATCAACGTTGCAAAGGTCTGAGCGTAACTAATTATGCCATCCAGGCCATCCTCCTAATTGTTTCCCCACGAAAACAAACTTTCAGATTGAGACCCAAATTTGCAGGGCATAATGACGTTCCAGGGCATACAACATTAGATATCTCGATGACATCGCTTGCAAAGTTTATGAAGTCGGGTCAGGATTTTGTATATGATATCTTTCTGCATGAAATCACCAGAGAGGCGTAGCATTGCTACTAAGTAAGATTTCCGTCGAACGATCTCAAGTTCATGCCAATGATATATCATAAACAGTAGCAAATAGTAAGAACGCAAACGGGACTTCTTGTTTGGAATAAATGAATCAAATTGATTAGACACCCCCGGTGATAGTACCAGCTGTATATCAGCCAGGCGATGCTGTTGCTTAATCAGGAAGATTTGTGAGGATGGACTTATTGGATGAGTCTATGCTGTCGATCGTCAACAGGAACAATCATCCCAACTATATTTTGAAAGGTCATTCGAACACTGGTCGCAAATTTAGAGTTGCATAGAGTGCTTGGACAGGTATTTAGATCGAAGCATTCGGAAAATTTTCCTTATCTGGACAAGCTCCAAGAAGACAAAAAACTTTATATATAGAAACCGAATGAAAACACAATGAGAGATTTAGATGACTATCGTCGATAAGAGCAAATCAGAAGTGCTGGAACTAGTACACTCGCCTACTAAGACTCATGTTTCACATGTTGTGTGAGCACTTCGCAGGCTCTTCTTGTTACCAGTGAAGAGAAGACAAAAACATGACTGTGGCCCAGTAACAGAGTAAGGCAAACTTTGCAATCAACGGGAGAAATCTTCAGACAACATCTGTAAGTGCGGCCGACTCCCTCATAGAACCACTCAGTTGATGATCGATCAGCATTAGATCAGGGCTTCACATTACTGCCGTGTCTGAACAGTTTCCAAGAGTATCGAACTGAGAACTTAAGTTTGAGAGCTGCACTGATTCAATCAATGTTTAGGTGGCTTTCAAGAATTCCAACTTCCGAAAAGTTGGAGGAAATTGTGTTGGGAAGAACCAACAACAATTTGCATGCAAGCACGATAATCATGGGCCAACGCCCCAATTCCGAAACCGGTCGGTCACGTGATAAAACTTTGATTTTCCTCTCTAAGCGCCATCTTTCAGACCCTGGCCTGCAGTACAGTATCGCCAAAAGGTCACAAAGGATGACTTTCTGGTCATTCAAATGGCATCAAACTATGCGAAGCGAGCCAATGAAGAGATGTGCCACACTCTTGGAGATACCCTATGATACGATTGCTCAATTGCTCGCAACACATCACCTCAGACGGCACTCCCACGGCAAAGAGGTGTGCATACACGATTGACGGAGATGCAGCAACATCATTTTCCATCTATCTTCTTTACTGGAAGATAGTAGATCCATTCGATAAACACGTGCTTTAACATGCGATTCGCTTGCTATTCCCTATCATCCCTCCGACGTCATGCTTTCGACATAATTCATAGGGATTTCAACAATTGGTCTTGGGAATGGGGTGATTGTGTCCAAGTGACCACTTGATAAGAAGATTTGCACAGCCACCTAAGTTCGTGACAGGTTTTTTGAAATTACCGATCGACAGATCTACACTAATGATTGGTCGGCCTTACAGCCACACTATTTGATGACATTAGAGTAATTTGCGCCACACATGCTATGACGACTTTAGATTAGGTTGGCATTTATGGGGCATTACATAGTCCGTACGAGCTGACCTACCAAGTTCATTCAAGCAAGAATCACGACGAGGAAAGTTGGTTGGGGGATGGAGATATGTAGGAAGGTTCCTCGAGTTGGTAGTTGTGGCATTGACAATGGTAGTGTCCACGGGTGGCTTTATGGGATGGCAGGATGGCAGGATGGCGGGAATCCCAAGTACCTAAGTAGTGGCCTAAAACTAAGAAGCTCGGGAGGTAGACAAGTAAAGAATCATGGTAATCTTCAAAGTGACAACCCCCAAGCCCACAAAGCTATGAAAGTAATAAAAGTAGCTGTCTACCGGTAGTCCATTTCTTGTGCGACTACCTACCTACTACTTTACCCTTTTTTTTTTGACAGTGTGGCATGGCCCACTCTGACTAATTGAGAATCTGATAGGGCACAACTTGCGAGAACTTAATCAATTTAGCTTAGCCCCTTACAGAAAAACCTGAAAGTTTGTTAAGAAACGGGGATATGCGGGGTGAGGAGGTCAGGAACAGGTGAATATGCTTACTTGCATGCTTTGGGTACAACTATTCCTTGTTATGATGGCAGCAAGATGATCTTACAATTCCCCATTTCCCGTTCCCTTTCTCTTTCAAGCGGGGAAGTGGAAGTGGGAGTGAATTCTTTGTTGGATTGGAACTTTCCCATACCTGGGTACCTTCCCTCAATGTGACGTCACAAACAGGTTTCTTGCCTCTCGATTCATCGGTCCTGAAGCATTTGAGGTCTTCGAATTTATTATATAAGGATTGTCTTCTACCTCCCATATCCTCCCTCTTTCTTTTATCATCAACAAACAAAGAAGCAAACAGAAATCAACACCAAATCAAAACAAATCACAACCACTTTCTACTTTAAACCCTCAAATACCATTTACTACATTCAAAATGACTGGAGAATCTACTGTACAAAAGGTCAAGGATGTCCTTCACATCGGTATGTATTGCCTCTATCCTCTCATCTAGGACACCTCGATCTAACAATCTCAGGTTCCAACAAGGACAAGGACCACACCGCCACTGGCACAACACACAACACTACCGGTACTACTGGCACCCACATTCCAGGTACCACTCACAACACCACTGGTACCACTGGTACCCACATCCCAGGTACAACTCACTCTGGCCATGCTGAGGGTTCTCACGGACCTCACAGCTCCTCTGCTGCCAATGCTGCCGACCCAAGAGTCGACTCTGATCTAGACGGAAACCGTCTTCCAAACAAGACCTCTGCCGGTTATGGTACTCAAGATGCCGCCTATGGCACCACTGGTACCCACACTGGTACTCACACTGGTGCTCATACTGGTGCTCATGTTCCAGGCACTACTGGTCATCAAGGTTATGGACACACTGGCACTACCGGCACTACCGGTACCCACATTCCAGGTACAACTCATACTGGACACTCCGAGGGATCCCACGGACCTCACAGCTCATCTCTTGCCAACGCCGCTGATCCAAGAGTCGATTCGGACTTGGATGGCAACCGACTTCCTAACAAGACTTCCGCTGGTTACGGCAGTGGTCTTACTGGCTCAACCGGTACTCACACTGGAACTCACACCGGCACTCACACCGGCACTCACACTGGTACTCACACTGGCAACACAATCGGAGGAACCGGCTTCGGTGGAGGAATTTCCCACAGCACCAACGCTGGTCCTCACAACTCAAACATGGCCAACGCTGCTGACCCAAGAGTCGACAGCGATTTGAGCAGCACTGGTAACCGCCACGGAGCTTCTACTGGACACTCTGCATTCGGTGTTTCCGGCTCCCATGCCACCCCAGGCTCCGGAACTGCTCAGAACACCGCTGGTCCACACAACAGTGACATGTTGAACAAGTAAGCATAACTTCACCCCAAAGTATTCATGAATACATGCTAACAATACCCCACAGAGCTGATCCAAGAGTTGATGCCGACCTTGATGGTTCCAAGACCTTGGGAGGAAACAAGACATACCATTAAATCACATGTACAATAATACCCTTTCGCTGAAACCGACATGAATTTGCGATACCCGAGGATTGAGCATACCCGCGTAACTGGGGAGCTTTTTTATCTTCACACGATTGTCAGTTTCGGCTTTGGGATTTCTTTTATCGGCATTGATGGATGGAGGATTAGGATAGGAAAGGATGGACACATGGGAAACTTTTAGTTTTACGCATGAATTTATGTATTACGAAATGATAATATCACTTCTTGAATAATTTGTCGTTTTGATTTGTGGTGTGATTGTGAAATTGAGTGATTAATAAGTAAGGTGTTTTTCATGATTGTTTAATGGTGAATATGGAATGATCAGCTAAAACATATATGACAATCATTCAGTCAAAGCCCCTTCTCACTTTCCAGCTTCGTAGCTCTACTCCCTCACCAATATACCATTATCATATCATCACAATCACGAGCTTTACTTCCTCCCTCTTAACAAAATTTTGTGGCAAAAAAATCTCAATTAAAAATTCGGTAATAGTCTGGATTGTCGCTCTTCACTACTTCAAAAACTACAGCAACATTTATCACTTCAGGATCTAAGTCATGAGATCCAGCGATTCCGAACAGAAAGATGTGCTGCCCATCTATGATTTCTCTTACGATTTTAGAGGTATATAGACCCAGAACATCTATAACCCTACCTGAGTTACCATTACTAGGTACCTATTTCCCCATCCATCATCTACAAAACCCGTATCCAAACCCCTGAAAAGCAAAAGAACATAAACTTAACGCACCGAAGAAAAGAAAATATTGTATACAGTCACAACTTCTCAATGGGGAACAGTATCATTTAGTCTCCGACTGAAAAATTGCCGGACAATTTAATAAATAATGACAGGCAGGGAGATTTTTTAGAGGTTCTACTAGTATCTAGGTAGGTAAGGTTAGTTGATTAAGTGTGGCTAGCATATTGGTTTTAGTCTGAGAAAAGAAAAAGGTGGGAGCTAATGTTAGGGTGGACGCTAGGAGGGTAGGGGTTGAGGCTAGGTGTGAATGGAGCTAGTGATTTTTGGGGGGAATGGGGAATTGTGGAAATACTTTGAGAAGTTTGTGATTAGGAGATTAGTTTATGGGTTGGAATTGAGGAGGTGGAATGTTGTTTGGGTTGTTTTGCTGATGAAAGTGGTAGTTGAAGGATTTACGCTTGCTGGGAGTCCTGTTCGAGGGGTGATGAATGGTGCTAGTGCCCAGATATGACTTTGCTACAAAGCGGTTTAGTGTTATAGGTTCTTTCAATAATGATCAAAGGGGCTCGGTAGGTAGTGCTAGATCTGATGAATTCAAGGGAGTAAATATATTTGTGAAAGTTCACCCAAATTCCATAGTCCGTAATTTTCTTGCTAGCTAGGCATGGATTTCAGCAACGCTGTGAAGAATACAGGATTGTAGAGGATTACTATCGTTTATCAATCTTGAATAGGCTGTTCTTCTATTCACATGTAGTACAAAGAAGATACATAGCATGTCAAGATATCAGTACGGACAGAGAAAAGCAAGAATACTTTCTATACTCCCGATTACGGGCTGCACCCGGATCGACGCAAAAGATACAAATACTCAACGCAACAATCTCGAAGTGAGAGAGATACTGGATGGAAGCGTGACGACAGTCTCCTAGCGCTTTCTTCCTTCTCTTTAGGAAGGCGTAATCGCTAAGATTGCAAAAGCAAACTGAATCAACATTAAATTCATCACAGTCTCCGTCACTTTGATCAACAACATGATATACGGCGGGGTATTTACATACTACTCATGACCTAGATTATGGCCGAGAACCTCGAACTAGAATTCTAACAAAGTTTTCCAATGCCGACCCTGTGGCAACAATGGGATCCTGTATATTATGTTTCAATTACTTACATCTCAAATAGAGTGCCATGTTTTTGTAGTTCCGCGCTCCAGATGCTGTGATCACTTTGCGTGTCTTTCGATTTCAGTTACTTATTGCACTTTTTGGTCTACCACATGCTATGCATTCATGGATTCAGAAAGTGCTCTCAAAGGGTCTAAACCAAGCTGGTGGGTTTGTGCTACAAATCCTGAATGCAGAACTTTATGTTAAGACGGATGAAATGGAAGAGTTGCACTAAATCTGATCGTAGAAATAGTTATACGGCCTATATCTTGTATTATGATATTACAATAATTAATCTTAGAGCCATTTTCTGGATAGGGGTAAAAAGGAGAGGGAGCGTTCACTTCACTTACTGAGTGAAAGATAAACAAATAGGAGAGAAGGGAAAGGAATTTTATAACAGGCTCTAAAACAATGTGTACAACGCGCTTCATACTGAAACTTTCTAAGTGTTAATCTCGGAAGATACTCATCCTCGTTGTCGATATATGTCTAAATCGCAACACTTTATTAACCTTGCATATCTTATCAATGACCTGACTGAGCATTCACAACTTATTTTCGGGCTATAAGGAGAACATGCACCTGTATAATTCCATCTCATCGTTACGTTCTTTCCTCAGTAGATAAGAAGGATTGCTGGTCACTGGTTAGTTCCTACCTTTCGATATCATTGCAAACAGCATTCATAATAAATCTCTTGCACTTCTCGTCAATGTAACCACAACAGAACATTACATCCAGTACATCAGTAGCATTAATTACATCCAAGAACATTCATTTGATCATTCAATTATCAATATCAATAACAACAAGTAAGTCATGTCCGTCCATCTCTCTGGGAAGATAGAAGATTACGTCGATGTTGATGAAGGCAGGAAGAATTACAACATCTAAAAATGGTACTTTTCCAGTCTTCCAATAGGTATGTACTCTATAACCCACCCTCTCATAAGGGGATTCGCTTTCGGGCCCTCCAGCATTCATCTATTTGGATACTTGCCTTTCCTAATCCTCACACCCAGATTCTCCATTCTTCCCATCAAGCACCTCCCCGATGCCGAAGACGAAAACGATTCTCTCCTCCCTCCCACATCACAAATCTCATCCCCAAAACGTACACCTGCACCACGAAACCCTCATTCCCACCCCTCCGCCCGCCAGCCCTCCCTCGCCAAACTCCCACCATTCCTAAGAATCCCCCGCGAATTGCGCTGGATGATATTCGACGCGCTCGTAGCGTCCATTACCAAAATCGATATTAAACCCTCGTTTATCGATACATTCCACGCATTGCGTCTCAGCACCAAAGGACTTCGAGAAGAAGTTATCGGATGGCTAAGAAAAAGACCCGATGTGATCAATGCATTTCCCTATGGCTGTTTTATCCCGCAACGCACCACATTTATTTTGAAAATCGACGATCACTGGAAAAAAATCGTCAAGCACAAGACGGTTTCTGGGTCCCACGTAACATTTAAGAGTGGTCCCAAAAATAAAAAGACAAATGACAATTCGCAGTTCCCCGAAACAAAAGCCATCAAATACATGAGTCGAGAACAAGCATGGTACAGTTTCTGCCGCGCATTAACCCCGTTACACATGACGAAAATGCATCTCAAATTCGAGATATCTCTCCCGGAAGAACTCGCACCGACGAGTCACGGCAGCGGATTGAGTGCTCTTCCACGCGAAGAATTATTCCAAGCGCTCGCCGCATCGCGATATCAGGAAGGAGCATGGGCATCGCAGCGGGTGTATCTACAGGGGACCCTGGATCAACTAGCGAGTTTGTATAAAACGGATACGCTGGCGCAAATAGGAGATATGGTGCACCTGGTGCAGAAAACGGAATTTGATAAGGAGACGTGGAGGTTGTTTCGGGATCAGCAGTGGGAGGTGGATGATTATGAGAGTTTGTCGTATCCGTTTGATGCGACGTATTGGGAGGATCAGAAGTGGAGGGTTTGGGGGAAGGGGAAAGGGAAGGAGGTTTATGAGTATGGGGGGAGAGTCATGGAGGCGGTGATTGCGTCGGCGGAGGAGTTGAGGAGGGGTCCAAGTTTGGAGGGTTGGGCTTCTGTGGTGTCGGAGGTGGATGAGGAGGAATTATTTGTGTCTAGGAGGGGTGAGTTAGGGGGGAATACGGAGTGTTTGTGAGGAGGGTGAGTGTGGCTGTGGTTTGGGTTGAATAGTATATAGTGGCTCAGTCGGGGAATTGAATGAGACACAGCGTTGAGGTGAAGGTTTTAAGCGAAGATTTGGAATCTTGAAAGAGGGATGAATGGATACCTAGGTACTTTACAGTGTATACCACAGCAGTAGTATTAATGATGAATGATTAGATAGATACCTAGTCTGATAAAATCATATACTTAGGCAGACTCAACTTGAGATGGGTTCATGTGATACTTTGTGAAGAGGTCAGTATAAAGAGATGACTATATCATCATCTATCAAATCTAATCCATATAAGATTTTGGATACAACTATAGTAGCAGGACGGTCTCAATGCCGATGTTAAATCCAAATCCGCATCTAAAAATCGAATGAGTAGACTTACTTTATCATACTCTCCTCTTCTCTTCATCTATCTCCAACCGTCTCCATGAACCAACAATTATCCAACATAACAACATACCAATCATATATCCCACACTCCAACAGCACTAAACACAGATACCTACCTCCCCCGCCATCTCAAGTTCCGAAAGAGCCGAATAACGACAACAGAAGACGACAAGTATAAAGAACTCCATGATAGATACATGACCAAAGACAGCGAGGACTACATTGCAGAAACCAAGATAACACTACCTATCTCCTTAATATACACACCACAACTGACTCACATAAACCAGTCCCAAAGACTTTTTAATTCTCAAATTTCCCAAGATGAGCACTCAAAAACGGCAATCGACTGAACAAAATGGTATTTATCACTGCAAAACTAAACTTTCCTTCATGACGACCTAAGCCATCCATCTTCCAAGTAACCTCTTTACTCTACCCCATCATTTCCTCTCTCTCCACGATCACCCCGATCTTTTTACTACATCTTCCCCAAATCCTTCTATATACAACACATTCATCCATACTTCTTCCTCATTCACTTCTCCCACCATCAACTTGATTCCTTAATTCCCTTCCTTCTTCTCCCGTCCTCCCGTCTTTTATCAACATTTTTTTAATCTTCGGGCGCAAAAACACACGGAATTCAAACTACCTGTATGCATTTACTCAAAGGACCGAGGCTTTTGCATTTATTCAAGTGGGATGCCTTCATATTCCGCGAATCCTAATGCGAGGTTCATGTTTTCTATTATAATGTGAGCTTCAGTTCTTTCATATAAGTGCAAAGCATGATCAAGAAATTTTGAGGGAAAAAAAAAAACTTACGCAAACATTGAGTTGCGGCTCCCTTTAACAAATTATCAATAGTTGCACAAACAACCACTCTCTTGCCACTGCTATGTACTCCAAATCCACCAATCTCTACGCCATGCTTTCCACTAATATTCTTAACACTTGGTGCTTCTCCAGTAATCTTGACCAATTTCTCTCCAGCGTAACGCTCTTGGTAAAGGTTTCTAATATCTCTACTAGTCATCTTCTCTTTCAAAGGAATAGAGATAGAGTGATGAATACCCTGGAACCAGACTGCAACGTGAGGAATAAAAGCAACTTCAACACCTAATTGGTTGCCAATTTCGCGTTCGTGAATGTGATCAGTGAGAGAATAAGGAATGATGTTACCAGTAAGGTTCTCAACATCATTCTTTGGGGATGGTTTGGTACCTGCTCCAGAGTAACCTGATACACCGAAGATAGTTGGTTGACCACCAAGGAATGGTACCAATGGAGCAATTCCAAGTTGAGCTGCGGTAGCATAACAACCTGGGTTGGAGATTCGAGTTGCCTTGGCAATATCGGATCTGTTGACTAATTCTGGAAGACCATATGTCCATTTACTGTCAAATCGATAATCCGCAGAAAGATCAACAATGACACTATTTTGAGGACCCTTGCCCTCGTTGACTGCATCAACGAAAGGTTTGCAGACACCGTTTGGTAGTGCCATAACCCAACAGTCAATTTCACCATTTTCTTCCATTCTGCGAACATCTTCTGGAGAAAGGTTTTCATAGGTAATATCTCTCTTCTCATAACCCTTCAACTTTTGTCCAGCCAGCTCTCTTGATGAGACATGTCTGAGATCCATGTTTGGGTGAGCATTAAGGAGACTAATCAACGCTTGTCCAGTGTATCCTCTGGCACCAATCAAAGCAACCTTGGCGGGCTGGGTGTTTGATGAGTTTTGCTTGCCAAAAGGAGGGTTAGGATTGGTAGTTGTAGCATATCCTCGTCCTGATGTAGGGAAGCGGGAAGTTCGGGAAGATTTGACAGCAGGTCTACGAGCAGAAGTAGAGAAAGCTCGGGCTTGTTGCCTGATACCACCCTGACCAGACATGGCAGCACTCATTCCAGTAGCTGCTCTAGCAGCACGGTGAAGCCGTGCCTCAAGGTTAGCATCTCCGAGCATAGATCTACCGTGAGTGGCAAACTCAGTCATGAGGTCCTTGACTTCATTACCATCGGTAATTCCATACCAGAACATAACCTCTCCATTCTTAGACAAGCTACCATCAGATTTATCAAAGAACCAAGTCAGATTTTCATCGTCCTCCTTGACAGTCCAAACCAGCTTGCTGTGATCCTTCTTGATAGCAGCGAAAACATTGTCAGCAACGTTGGTCAACCATCCAGCCTTGGTAATAGTAAAAGTGGCCAAATTAGAAAGAGAACTTGGGGACTTTGGAGGAAGAACAATTGCAAGAGCATCCATGGGCTCATCGAAATAGGCCTTTAATTCCTTGTTCTTGAGTCCGTCAACATATCTGTCAACAGTAGCTCGTGCATCCAAACCTTCACGATCCCGTACAAGAACATCCTTCAACTTCTGGATATCCTCGAACTCGGAAAGAGCGCTGACAGTAGCTAATTTGTTGCCTCTTCGGATCAAAGTTCCTGCTCCGGTATCGGTGAACAACTCTTTTTGAAGATCAGCTGGGTGAATGATAGCAACACTGGAAGATCTTGGGAGAAGGTCAAGCAATTGCTTAGTCTCCTTGATCTTCAATCTAGTACCATATCTGCACCACCATTGTGACATCAAAGAGTCATATTCCTCATCGAGGTTGATAGCAGAAATCTTCTCGTTGGTATCGGCATTAAAAAGTCCTCCCTTCTCAGACAAGTAAACAATCTTCAATGGCTGTAATTCTCTGGCAAGTTCTCCAGCCGCAACATCAGCATTGACGTTCAAGACTTGACCTTCAGGAGTCTCAGCCATAGAAGTCAAGATTGGCAGACATCCCGCATTGATAGCAGCTTCAATTGGACCCTTGTTAACCTTGTTAATTTTGCCAACCAAATTATATTTCTCCTTGTCCAAATAATCCGCACCGAAAACACCAGAGGTGATTGGTCTCGCTCTCACTCCCATCTCCTCCAACTTCTCAACCAACTTCAAGTTCTCCTCCAAGAACAGCTTTCGCGCAACTGCCAATGTCTTTCCATCTGTAACGCGAATGCCCTCTTCGAATTGTGGTTCCACACCCGCATCCTCCAATAACTTATTCAGTTGTGGTCCTGCGCCGTGCACAACAACTGGGAATAGACCCACATGGTTGAGGAAGGCGAGGGCAGAAGTGAGAGATTCGAGATGTTCAGTAATAATCGCACCACCAACCTTGATAACTGCGAATTGTTGAGAAGACACGGAGCTGAAATGCGAGAGATATTGTTGAACTTCGCGCTTGGAGCCAATGTTGCTGAGTAGTTGAACAACCGTCGAACGAGTTGAAAAACTATCGGTAGCAGGCGCAGAGTATTGACGTCTGGAAGAGAGAGCTACGGCGGTGGTAGCTTGTGGGAGGGACCTCACAGTTGAAGAGGAAGGGAATTTGCTAGTCGCAGTGCGTGCTCTTCGCGCAACGATAGCTGCTCGAGATCGAAGTGCCAACATGATGGGTGGGGGGTTAGAATCGATATGGAGTGGAGATTAGTCGGAGTGAAATTTGTTGAGGACAACAAACTCTGCCTTCTTATAGCTTCTTCTGTGCAGAGCTTATGAGAGAGAAATTCGATGCAATTCAATGCCACACAACCGTCTGATCCGAGAGTTATCTCATGCAAGGCGCGGAGGATTCGATGTTGGTTGAGCGAGGGTGCTATGAACTGAAAATAACGCAGACTAGAGGGATATAAAGTGTAAGTGAGTCAATTCCTTTAATAGCTTTGTAAATAAATCTCTCGCAGTCTTCTTCCCAAGAAAGAATGAAAGAGAACAATCAAGATGAGCCTGAAGACGAATGAAAGTTATATATCATACCTTTCCTCAACCTTCTTCACAATTTCCATGAAAATGTAAGTGGAAGTAGATAATACTCATCAGCTATCAAAAATGACAGTCATAGTTCCCAAATGCTCTGGTAATAAATTCAATCTGGATTTCACCCCTCAGGGATTGATTGACCTTGTGCCTTGTGAAAATATAATGTGGAGAAGCGCCGATGTTCTACGATTGGTTGAATTTCTTGAAGTGGGTCGGATTTTCAGATTGTGGAAGATGATTGGTTAGATATGGACTCTTGGCATGAAGAGATACCCCACATCGAGAAGTTTTTTTATTCCATTTTATCGTGTCAAACTTTTCTCTTAAAGCTTCAGACTTCACTTGATACACACGTGCCATCCATACATAGCAACAAAGGTGCGGGATATTCCCTTTGTTCCCTTTGGTGTGAAATCTGGAGGTGCGTGGGATGAAGGGGAAAAGTCTTCAATGTGCAGACTGTAGCTAGTAAGGTGGTGGTAGTGAATAGTAGTAGTTAGTATAATAGTAGTGGTAGATAAGAAGAACATGTTATTAGGTCGTGTTAATCCATGGTAATAAAAGTCAATATGAAAGTCAATATGAATATGAATATGAACATGAATATGAACATCAACATCAACATCAACATCTAGAAATCCTCCAAAAGTAGGAACCTAACATCTTGATACAAACCATTCAAACACCCCATCCCAAACCCATCAGTCAATCTATCATCCCGTCCCGTGCCCCAGACATCAACTCAACTCCTCTCATCTCCTCCCAACTTCATAATCTTATCAGATCCGCACTGATCTCGATCCATCAACACCAAAAATGGCCCTAACTCACCCTAGGTAACTCACCCTAGGTAACTCACCCTACCCACCCTCACACCACCATTTCGTACTTCATATCCAAGTAAGTAACCGTGGAAACGCCAGTCCCAGCTTCTAGTACGTACCTTGTATCCATTTTACATATCCTCCCATTCACTCTCCCATTCAAAACTGCGATATGTAATCTTATTAACCTTATTTTGTGAACCCAAACTCGATACACACTCGAGTACCAACTACAATTCCTCCACTGCGCTATCCAGATACCCAGGTGCCCAGATCTCGGAAGTCGACCTACCGGTACCGGAATCAATTTACCATAGACACTACACTAGACTCATAGCAATTCTCTCATTCAATCCCGCTGTATACATTATACATTATACGTCCATTACATCCGAGCTCCTGAGCACTCATCACTCGTCCTTCACCTCCCAGTGTATCCTTACTCATTACACCTTTCACTCATCATAAATACAACTCTACCTAATTCCTTTATACCTGAATACATACCTCATAAACACATCCTCTACAATTACTTCCCTTCTCTCCCATCCTCTCCCATCCTCTCCCATCCTCTCCCATCCTCTCCCATCCTCTCCCATCCTCTCCCATCCTCTCCCATCCTCTCCCATCCTCTCCCTTCCTCTCCCTTCCTCTCCCTTCCTCTCCCTTCCTCTCCCTTCCTCTCCCTTCCTCTCCCTTCCTCCCCAAATCTCTACCTCATAAACCTCACTCAAACCCATATCTCCACCAAAGACGCTGAAATTCATAGACACATAGTATTCCTCAAATCCTACCCATAGACCTAGATCATAATGATCACTTCTTTCGATAAGATCTTACATAGATAGTCCTAGGCCCTGGTGCTAAATACAGTATTGACATTGAGGAGCCTACATTGTAATTGTTACAACGCTTGTGCTCTGGTTCTCTTAGCTAGCAGTGAGTGGAGTTGCATGCATACCTACTTTCTAGCAGTACGAATGTACTTCATTCATCATCAATACCTCACCCTAATCAACAATGTTACATCTCACTCACTCACTCACTCACAAAACAATCCACAAACACAGATATAAAAAGTCATAATCTCTCCATTCATTCAATTACCATCCACCAAATACTACAAGATACCAATCCCCCTTTCGAGCTGAACAACCCATTCATCCATCTTCATGTTCGTAGTCTGATTGAAGATCGTTGATCAGAAGCCAAACCAAGTTAGATCATAAGAAATGGATTAGAGGGTTCATCAAGTCAAACGATATCAAAGTGACGCCTTCATGAAAAAGAGGAAGAACCGATCGTGTAAAAAAATCTCAAAAATCTCAACTCCTGAATCGTTAAAAGCCCCTTCGTTGCCCTCTTAGCTTTGCAGGTCCCTCATGCAAAAGCCCAAGAGAATTTGGTGTCAAGTGTTTCGTTCCATGAAAGTCCGTACAAACATTCATGTGTCTTTTCTTTCATAATCTCTGTACCCAAGTATACCGTCATTCAAGTCCGTTTTCCCATTCTTCGTTCGTACTTAATTTAATGCTTGGTAGCAACAACTAGATTCTCGTTAATGATGAACCCATGAAATGGGTTAAGGAACTTACCAGCAGGAACTACGATGATAATGATTAAGATGATAATGCCTGCAATCAAACACATCCTCATCTTCATATCCTATGATCCCAAATATTAGCTCAGCCCCCTCATTTTTTAACTGGAAATCGTCATTTACCTTCCACCACATTTGTTTGCGGACTCTGTTAGCTCCACGACGAAAACCTTGCGCTGAAACTGCGAGACTATCGGTTTTATCTTGAAGAGAATCTAAATGAGCACCACGTTCCGAGACCTTGTTGATGTTCTCGCGCATTACACCGACGGTATCATCGATAGTCTAGAAGGGAGTAGAGGTCAGTCAAAGCACTACAACATAAAATCAAAATGTTTTCGAGTTGTCAAAGTTGTCTGGTAAATTTGGAGCCCCTTTGTGACTGAGAAAGTTTTGCCAATTACACATCGTTCTCAGCATCTGAGAAATTGTTGCTAATAAGTATAGGCGCAACCACCATATCTCCGGTCTTTGGAATGATTGTCGGCCAGATATGATTTACATCGTAACTCGAACTGGCGGGCGGCTAAAACACATGCGCAGCGAAACCAACATCATGTAATTGATCGATGTCTGCACAATCTACACCTCTTCTCATCTCGCATTTCGAGGACATATCTCCAAATCGTAACTATCGAGTGCAATATCTTTATTCTGTAGATTGTTGATGCTTATCGCATGGTCGGTCGGTCGCAAAATCGTCATATGCATGATGATGACAGGGTGACAAAACTCTCCATCAACTCCCGAGACACAAAATTCATCGACAGACAACTTTTCTACCCGTCGGAAGATTGTATATCACTTACAGCTTGTAATGCCGCCGTCCTCTGATTGCCTCCTGCTTGTTGAGATCCTGCACCTGCACCAGCAGCTCCTCCGCTGGGAATATAAGGATCATATTGAGGTTCTCGGTGGTCCGCCATTGTGTTGTGTTTGTGGGTATAGGTATTAATTTGATCGTAGAGAGGTCGTAAATTTTACTTTTGCTGTTATTGAAATGATAAATAGCTCAGCAAGAGTTCGTGTCGTGAATAAATCGAGTTGGGGTAGGTATTTGTTGTTATTGTTTTCTTAGAGATGGAGGAGGATGTAAGTGATGGAATAATGAATGGCTTGAATAAAGTTCGGGTTCTGGAGCACGTTTAGAAGCGAAACAACTGAAGGCCCAAACGTGATTGATCTTTGCCAAGAGGCTTTTCAAGGTTAATGGTTAATAGTTTGCTTTCTTTGAACAGCAGTGAATCAAACTCAGTAATCAATTAAATTCAATTGAGTACCTATCTAAAGAGAAAATGAAGATGAAACAATAAACAATAAACAATAAATCATACAAAAATAAGAGGGAGAGGCGTACAATTTATTTAGGTTCGAGTTATTGAAATACGAACGGCTTCATCGGAATCCGTTCTAATTCCAGTTGCTTGCCAACCTAACTGTCTACGCAATTCACGATGAGCCATCCTGCGCCTACTCAATCTACACGTGATACACCATCCCAAACCCTGTCGTTGTAAACCTTGGAATTCCGGTGGCTCTCCAGAGTCAAAAGAAGATGGCTGTGTCACAGTGGCGAAACATTGAAGATTTCACAAAGTCCTCAAAGAAACGAATGCGGAACGTACTTGAATCCGATAATACGTTGGTGCTGCTATCAGTGCTGTCAATTCGGTCAATGCGACTCGTCCTGTCGGGTTCATATTATATTTCGGCTTGACGTGTTTGATTTGCATACGAAGTAGATTGGTAAATTTATTAAACTGGACAAGTTTGACAGACCCTTTCCCCCGGATTTTGATTCATTCGTAACATACATACCTAGGCTGCAATTTGTAATCATCATACTCGTATTTGTTTGGCAGCTAAATCAAGAGCCAAGATTCATGTAACCTACTTCAAGTGGTAAATGGGAAACATAATAAAAGTTAAATCTCGTGAGCATTAATTGAACTATTATATACATAATCTAGACGCCCGCCTCCGTTCATCGACTCGTAAAAGGTATCAAAAAATAAAAATAAAAGAAGTTAGTAAAACCTCGCATCACCAAACCGCCCATTTCATAAACACCTCCTTGAACACCACATCTCCAATCTCATTGCCTCTCCATAAAAACTAGAAACGTAGTAGTAAAATCGAAATACTTTTATCCCAATTCCCCTGTGCCCCAAACCCCCAAAAACATCAATCATCCCACAATCCATTCTTTACCCAAGCTGTCTGTCGTGTAAGATGTAAAAGAGAAAGGCAAATATGGTATAAGGAGACAATGGAATATCATCAACAGAAAAATGGAAAATATGAACACGAGAATGTCGAAACAAAGAGAATAAATGCCGTCATTCATCGTGAGAAATCGTGGGAAAGAAGAAAAAGAAGAAGTAGAAGGAGAAGAAGGAATAGAAAATAGAAGATCGATAGATAAAATTAGAAATAGGTAATGAATAGATAAAGAGCAATAAAACATCAGCATGAGGATAGTGAGTTATGCCGCACATTGGCTGATTGAGTGATGGTTTTCGATATCATGAGATGAAAATACAGAAACCTATAGATCGTTAGATAAATGCAAACTTGGACATGAAGTGAATGTAATCCACGTACCATCGGAATTACTTTAGGTTCTCTATCGATTATCGAGAAGGAATACCAAAAGAACATGGTGCAAAAAGCATCGAGACGTTGCAGGAAAAGACCAAACACCCTTTGAAGAAAAGCGGACCATACCAAAAAGACTTGCAACTCAACGTTGGGTCTTGATGACATACTAGCAAAGACCTCTAGGCTATGCTTCGAGTAAATCAAGACGAATTCATAACAAACCCTCGCTCTGAACCACGTTCCCACAGAGGTGGTGAAACAAGAAGAGACCTTCGTCTTGGTCGTGGAGATTGAAGTATGGGCGTTTGAATCTCCTCGTACACTGTCGGCGACATCAAATTTATATCATTCAATGGCAAAAATGTCGATTTCGTCTTAATGGGCCCTATTTCCTCGGAATCTAACAGCATCTGTCCAATACTAGCAATTTTTAGAGCATCCCATGTGCCTTCGCGTCTAGGGCCTGCTTCCCTTAAGATAGTGACCGCATCTCTCCTTATTTTTTGATCAGGACACGCGTATATCACAACAAAAAGAGAAGGGATAATCCCCGCATCAAAGACGAATGTCTTCAAAAATCGAGGATCGGAAACAAGCTTTTGACTGAGAGAGATGATTTGACGGAAGATGGGAAGGAAGTGATCGGAAATTCTGTAATCAAGAAAGACTCCTTGACCCATGAGTTCTATCCCAAGAGCCTTAATCTGAAGAGTGGTGGCAGCAATATAATCTGCATTGCCCGAAGGAGATTGTGCATAAGAAATGATTGGCTGAAATGCTCTTTGCCAATCTTGAAAGCTGGAACTGAACTTAGGAAACTCGAACCCTGTAAGGATGGGAGATGATGCTTCCGGGTGAAGCTTCTGAACTCTTGAAAAGCTGATTGCCAAACTTTGAGGAGAAAGATCCGGTGACGCCAAGCGCCTTTGTAGGTCTGCCCTTGGTATCTTCGGGAGAGAGTGGTATAGCACATGTTCTAAATGAACTTCGGCTTCTGCAAGGTTGTCCAGTTGTCGAGGAATGTCCGGTTTAGGTACATCGGTTGATATGAGATCAAGGACCTTGTCGCTCAATGAATCTGGATCATCCGGTCGTGTCACGATCGCCAAGGCAAGGTGGAGATACGCTGTAACAATTTCATTTTCTACCAGATCCGGCGCAGGAGAGCTCAACAATGGATTGTGGTGGGGATGACTTGAAATTAGTTCATGATGGTGCATCATCTTAAGTGCACTATAAATGTGTTTGTCGGCCAACTGAGTGTTGCCATCTATCAGATGTCGAAATCAGTAAGTGTTCGACAGAAAGGCTCAAAGAGAAAATGGAGCTTACGAAAATTCTCAAAGCAAAATATAATGATAGACACAAGTAAAGGTACACGAAGAGAATTTTGACTCGTTCGGATCAGGTTACGAAGATACCGAATGGATCTTCCATATTGCTTCAGAGCGTATCGACGGTGCATCTCTACTTGATCGGCTATATCATACGGCGATTAGCACTACATTATCAAGTATTCCTTGGGACTTACAAATCCTCTTGAACCCAGATTCGCCTTCTTTCGGATCCATGCATTTCGAGACTTTCATTGCTTTGCTCAAAGCAGCGATTGCGGTGGCAGCATGCCGGACAGACGTATCAGTATGACAAGATTGAAGGATAATAACGTTGAACAGTTTCTTTTTAAAGCCTCCGGCGAGCTCAAAAACGGTTTCTTTACAGAAGAAATCAAAATATTGAGCTTCTTGCTCGTTACCAAAGTTCAACACGGAGATACTGAGTGGTATGGAAAACGGCGGGGACTCCACGACTTCTTGAGATATGCCAGTAGATATAGTTGGGCCCATTAGCCAGGCTGGCTTATCCTGAAATTGGTATTAGTATTGCCAGATTAGAAGAAAGATTGAAGACATACCTTAGGACTGAATTCGTAGCCATCACACTTCCTGCCAAAGTTTATACATCGCATGCACGATGGTTTGGCCTCATCACATTTGACCCTTCGCAGCCTACAATCGAACGAACTATTAGTAAATAATCCAGTGGGTATCTTTCAACATAAGAAATTCCAGTATGATGAAAGAAACCACAAACTTCATACTATCAACATCCAATTGATCATGTGGATCAATCGAATATCTCAGTCACCACTTTTACTCACTTGCAAGTGGTACACCCTGTCTTTGACTTCTGCCTACACGCACGTGTCTTCCTAAAAGACAGTGGAGATGGCCCTGCTAACGTGATATCTGAAGAGAAACTCATTGCCATCTTGAGAATATGGCAATGATGAGAAGTGAAATGCGAGAATATGAAATAGCCAATCAGAAAAGACGAATGGTGTGAAACAAGATACTAGCCTAAGAAACAGGGCTAGGATAGGAGAGAAAGGGAGGAACAGTGAGAGAGGAAGCTTGGGGAGATCCGAGACTTCTAGACGCGCGCAAGATTCCAAAGGAGAGTAAGAGATTGAAGTCGGCGTTAGGAGATCCGGCTCCTTGATGAGGAAATCAACTACGTGTATAAGTCTGCGGCGGTAAAGATAACAGCGGTGAAGATAAAGATGATTCTTCCATTGCTATATAGGGCTGGTGGTGGAGATGAAGTACTCCACGCGAATGTGTATTAAAAGCAGTAATCATAATGCTCATTGTTGATGATACTAACAAGGTGATGTTGTTGGAGTGTGGATCCCGAGTGTTATATTTTTTGACACTATATTTAAAAATAGAAGTGACCGAAAATGTAAAGACAAGGTTACGATTGGCTGGATTAATATTCAATAATTAGTGACCAATATATCTTCCAATCAACAGAGGTGATTCTATTTCGAAAGTGTCGTAATCCTTGAGTTATCCCTAATTAATCCTTGCTCCGATCTTATCTTCTCATCAAATCCTAAGGTTTCCTTTAACGCGCGACGGTGAGGATAGACGATTCCGTGTGCGTGCGTGCCTTGCATGAGATATTTGCAGAATCCTTCGAACATCTGTAAGGTTATTATGTGATCTGTCCAGGTGTGCCAAATTAACCAATACCACTCGATGGGGGAGGGGAGATTGAATCCCATTTCTATTTGAAGATACTCATACTTCGTACTCATTCATGAGAGACGAGGCTGAAGAATCCCTTCTTTGGGATTTGGCGCGCTGGGAAGTTGAGAATCATCGTTTGTAGACGCATCAATCATCCGTATCGAGGTAATGATCCAAGGGAATGAGAAGTTCTTGAAGGATGCCAAGGACCCGAATACGTGCGGGAAATGGCGATACCAGGAAACGGCAGATCTTGTAGGATCTCTTCATATCATTCCTCACTTCGCCCACTAAGAATAGAGATCCATCGTATATTACTCCGTATGTCCTCGCATGCCGGGGCAGTCCGTAGGGCTTTCAACCTGAGAGTCCTCGAAAAGATTTGGTGCCGCAAAACCAAATAACTCTTCAACGGGTATGGATAAGCTAAGGATGTAAGAAGGTAATCTATATTAATACCTTGACTCATTTCCAATCTCTCAAATGTCAGATCCTGCCCATTGATCATTGTTGATGTGCCACTCCTTCTATATAAGGTCGTCTTCCTTTCTTTATTATTTTTGGTGTGTTGGCTGTAAGATGTCGCCATGAGTTCCATATGATGGTATGCCAAACGATCTAGCAAAACCAAGGTCCACAGTGAAAATGATGATCAAGTATTGGAAGAGTCGTGCAATCATCACCGGTCAATTTATGAGGTATGAAGGAAGTCGGCCAAGCATGAGATTAATTCGAAGCCACAGAGCCACAAAGCCACCTCGCTGCCGCCCGAGGATTGGATTCATGTTTGATCACATGATCACATGATCAATGATCAATGTTCAATCACGGTATGAAACAAATCTACCAATGGCCACACGAACGTTGAGCACAGAGGCTGTCATCTCATTTATGCTCCACTAAGTTTCCATACAGAAATTGCGAAATGCAAACAGAACTTTATTTCGACCGTCGAGGTAGGTACCTGGGGTAAGTTCGATCTAGAGCAGAAAGACTCTTCTCTTCTAGCTGAGACAATACGACCGCCACATCACGTTAACTTGACTATAAAGTGATTGAAAATAGAATTAAAGCTGGAAATTCTTGGAATCATCATCATTCTGCCCATGCCAAGTCAACCATTATTTATTTGCCTGGGCATTATGCGAAGTCCACCTGCACCTGCACCTGCACCGGTTGTCTGACCAAAGTCGGTTTTCCGTGGTCATTGAAATGACTGAAATGACTGAAATGACGGAAATGGTATCGAATGATTCGGATTGTTGAATTGACCGAATCACTGGGTGGTGTTGGTAGGCTGCATTGATGAATTACCTAGACGGGTAAGTAGGTAGGTAGGTAGTTGATGGAGAGAAGACAGAAATAATTCATTCATCATCCGAATAATCACAACAATACTGGTACGGTAACTAACTAGGTACCAGATAGATAGTACTTGGATGGATATGCATTCATCCATTTTCTTTTTCTTTTCTTCTCTTTTCTTTTCTTTTCTTTTCTTCTCTTACCTTACCAAGAAATCAAATACGAGGGCTTGGATGGAATTTCTTTCAAACCTTTCCGGACTGATCGGTACATATTCTTCTTTCATCGAATACAACCAAGTTTAAGAGCCGAGACTCATAATTCTCCACAACCTTCTTCTTATTCCACTTTCCCAAGTGTGCTACTCACGAATCGGATTCAATGCTGTACCGTTAGTATGGATGCTACTTTACTCAACTCTACTGCACGGTACTTGGTTTAACTAAACTCCGACGAAAGTTCGTTCCTCGTTCCTCTGTTGCTTTTTACATTCTTGGTGTTGACTTCCAAGGCTACTCCGCCTCAATATCCTTGCTTCTCTTTATAAATCTGCATTCCCCGCAAGATCATCATCTAGGATTCTACCTCCACATCCGCGCCTTCCCCCATCAATACGAGAGAATTCCACAGATTCGTCACTACCTACCTTGTAACCAACCAGCCTACCTTGTACAACACAACCAAGCGTTACTTTACATTCAAGAAATCTCCTCACTCGAAAACTTCAAGCTTCATCAAAACAACACAGCACTTATTTCCATAGTAATCATCCTATTATGGTGTTGGTGCCGGTTTTGCTACAACCCAATCACTCGTTGGCTTAATTTTTGGGACTTCTGCTCCCCCCCCCCCCCCCCCCCAAAAACAATTTGGTCGTTCAATTGTTCATTGTTGATCTTGGTCCTTGGGAAAATAGGGCATAGAAAGTTCGAGGAGAATAATTCAATCGTTTATCCCACCCCCTTTGGAACCATTCTCTGGATACAATTTAATTGAAGGGCTTTCTTACTGTCGTTGTCGAGGTGGTTTCTGAATATTTCGTTATATTCACCTCTGGTGTTCTTTGGTGTAAAGACGTCATTGACCCCAGCGCTTTTTCAACCTCAACACCTATCTAATATCTATTACACGACACTACCAAAAATTGCACAAACACAAATATCATACTCTTAACTATGAAGGTCTCGAAGTCTTTGTCGGCTGTCGCTACAGCTTTAATAGCTGGAAGTCATGTCGTCAATGCCATAGAAGTTGATCTTGATTCTCCGGGTATATATTTCACCCGTTATGTTAAAAATTATATACTGACCGCAAATTCAGCTTCCATCAAGTCCGCGGCGAGTACGATTGCGCACGATATGATGTCCTATTATACCGGAAACCAAACGGGTGGCATACCCGGGAATCTACCGGCTCCATATTATTGGTGGGAGGCCGGAGCAATGTTTGGCTCATTGATTGACTATTGGTATTATACAGGCGATTCGTCATATAACGATGTTACTACGGAAGCTATGCTGTGGCAGACAGGACCAGATAATGATTATATGACCCCGAATCAAACTAAAACGGAGGGAAATGACGATCAGGGATTTTGGGGGTTGGCGGCTATGTCTGCAGCCGAAGTGAATTTCCCGAATCCTCCCTCAAATAGACCTCAATGGCTCGCTCTCGCGCAGGCAGTTTTCAATACACAAGCTCCTCGATGGGACGATAGTACTTGCGCTGGAGGTCTACGATGGCAAATTTTTACCTTCAATAACGGTTACAATTACAAAAACTCCATCTCTAATGGTTGCTTCTTCAATTTGGGTGCGCGACTTGCGAAATATACCGGCAACGATACATATGCGCAGTGGGCAGAGAGAACCTGGAATTGGATGGAGCATGTGGGGCTTATGGATCAAAATTACTACGTTTACGATGGTTCCGACGACACTCTTAATTGTACCAAGCTCAACCATATACAGTGGACTTATAATGCTGGAGCTTTCCTTCTCGGTGCGGCAAATATGTATAATTATACCAATGGAAGCGATATCTGGCGTGGACGTGTCGAAGGTTTACTAAATGCTACGCATGTTTTCTTCGAGGATAACGTCATGATGGAGGTAGCTTGTGAGAACAACGGAAAATGCAATGTTGACCAGCAATCATTCAAAGCATACCTTGCTCGTTGGCTAGCGGCTACAACGAAAATGGCACCTTTTACCTACAATTCTGTTATGCAATTACTACGCCCCTCAGCTAAAGGGGCTGCCGCATCATGTGTAGGAGGCGATAACGGTCGCACATGCGGACTTAATTGGAGAACGGGACAATTCGATGGATTTTATGGAGTGGGCGAACAGATGTCAGCTTTAGAGGTTATTCAAAGTAATCTCATCGCGCAGGTTGCAGGACCAGTCACTAATACCACGGGTGGAACAAGCAAAGGTGATCCTACTGCTGGGTCTGGGAAAAGCCCTAGTAGCTATCAGGCGACACGACCAGTTACGACGGCTGATAGAGTTGGAGCAGGAATTCTTACGACAGTAGTATTGGTGATTCTTCTTGGAAGTATCTGGTGGATGATTGTGGATTAATGAAAGTAGGACTTATGAAAGTATTCTTGTATATATATTGGTACTTGGGACGGACACGAAATCTCCTAGAATTATGGGTATTCGATGCTTCGGATTTGGGAATCCTTTGTAATTTTTGGCGAAAGATGGGATACGGACTCGGAATCTTGGGGTTTTTGGGCGTTTGGAAGGGGTTGGAGTAGGGCGGGTCTGATTGGGGTATCGATCTGATGACGGTCTACATGATAAATGACGATATTGGGAAAGGAAATATGCGGCCGCGCATAATACTTACGTGCATGAACTAGGATTAGGAAACGGAAGTAGATGGCAATACTACATGAGGCACTTGGAAGGTAGAGGGATGAAATCATCACATTTGATTTGGGCATAGTTTGGTGGGATGTGGAGTGTGGAGTAAAAGGAATTTTTGTAATCTTTTGGTTCTCGTAACTTGTAAGAAGAGAAGATAAAAGAAATTGAATGGGAATTAGATGTACGATGGTGATTTTTGACTTTGATGTGAAGGATGCAGAGGGTGGTTGATTGATTTTGAGATGATGAGGATATGTGAGATGAGATGTGTGAGATGACATGTTTGGTTGTAGGAAGATAGGAGCTTGGAAGTGCACTATTGGGAGTTTAAGCATGTCCATGTTTACCTACCTATGCTATGTATGATGGAGAGGATGCGATAGAGAGGAGGATGTATATTAAAGGATATATAATAAAGAATTTGAAGGGGTGGGGGGTTGAGATAAGATGAGATGAGGAAATAAGTCAAGATGAAGTGGTTTGAATATGAATATGAATATGTGAGTTGAGTATGTGAGTTGAGTAAGTGAGTTGAGTAAGTGAGTTGAGTATATGTATATGTGTATAAATATGAGATAAATATTAAATATGTAGAAGATATGAGATAGTGTAGTTAAGATATTTTGAATTATTAATTGTGAATTTGAAGTGAAATGGGATGAGATGAAGTTAGGCTAAGTTAAGTTAGGTCAGGTTAAGTGTAGGAGCGGGGGTTGAATCTGTAAGTTGAGTAGTTAGTTGAGATATTATGTTGTGTATTGTAGAGGGTATTGTCGAGGGTATTGTCGAGGGTATTGTCGAGGGTATTGTAGAGGGTATTGTAGAGGGTATTGTAGAGGGTATTGTAGAGGGTATCTAGATGGTTTGTTAAATGTTGATATGGATATGGATATGGAGGGGGGAATAAGAGGGGGGAAGATATATGAAGATGAGAGGGATATGTGTTTGAAGGGAAGAGAGGTAGGCAGGTAGGCAGGCAGGTAGATAGATAGGTACTATCAATCCTCCAATATGCATTCGAAATCAGAGGAGTATACTTACAGATATGGAAAGAGGAGAGGGAATAGAAAAAGCTCTTCGCGAAAGAAATGGAGAAGCCGGAATGGATCATCTGAATCTTCGGTAGAGCCTTTAGGGCTTTCATTGATTGAATTTTAGGACTACTTTGGATGCAAGATACGAGTTTAAAGGAACGGAGAGTGATATTGGGTTTTCTTCATTTCGAGGATATTTAGGAGATTTGTTTTGTGGGATATGTGAGGGAGGAAATTGAGGTATGAGTTGTTGAGATGTTGAGAAGTGGGATAATCCGGGGCGTTTCTGCTTTGTAGGGGAGATGGTGATGGTGAAGAGTTATTCTTGTAGATATGAAGGAGTGGGAGACTATAGAGTTAATTATACTATGGATTGAGATTCGAGATTATTTATTGATCTATCGTAATCGCGGCTTTTGTATTTATTTCTATTCATGGGAATGGGAATGGGATGGGATGGGCGTGGTTACTTACGGTGACTTTGGTGAGTGAAACATGTATAAGAATTGAGCAGGAATGGATGGATTCTAGATATAGAAGAGGTGATTGTAGATAGAATTAATCAAAGAGAAAAACTTGACTCCTTGCTTTCCTTCGATTTGGATTTTGTGATATGAAGTGATCTGATGTGATGTGATGTGATGAATGTTTTTGAGTATTTGATTTTGGTGACTTATTTCGCTTAGATGTGTAGAGCGGAACTTGATACGGGAAGATATTGATATAGGTAACTATGGAGATACGTGGATGTGGGGTACAGAGTTGAGAACCCAACTTGGGGGAGGGTTATGTGGACAGGAGTCGGTAGATTTGGGACTGGGGAAGGTTGCATTGTTGGATCATTGGGGTATTGACAGTGACTTTGCTATCGGTGTTGATGTTGATGTCGATATTGATCTGTTTTTGATGGGGTAGGGTATGGCAGGGTAGGGTCGGGTGGAGTGGTGTGGTGTAAACAGAGGAAAACAGAGATGCTGTTGTTATGATAATACGGCTTGATGAAGGGTTTAGCGGCGCGGTGGCGTGGGTAGAGAGATTTAGCGGACTGGGAATTGAGGAAAGTCATGGATTGAATAGTAAGGAATGGGGAGAGGGCAGGGTGTATAAAGAGATTTAGAGTCCTAGAGCTCGAGCGATTCGAGAGTACTGAATTGAAAGGTTGAGGATGCAGAGACAGCGGGTTGTAATAATATACATAGAACTGAGGGGTGAGCAAATAAGAAGGGTTGGATGAAGATGAGAAATATGGTAAGAGGGATATTGATGGTAGAGTTCTGGTAAACGCAAGTGCGATTAGAGATACGCTGTTCTCGTCTCTTGGATGCAAGAGCAGCAGCAAGGTGAGATATTTATTGCAATATCTGCACTTCATCTGCTCATCATTCACATCATCAATTATTACAAGTGCATAAAAGATGTTGAAAAAAAAGCTTCTAATTACCAGGTACAAAACCAGTTCTAACAGCCGCTGATGTATCTGTCTATGGTATATATACATATATTTCTTGTAAAAAAAAAGTCCTAGAACAAAATGTCAGCAAGTCTGCTGTCATTAGCATAAGTCTATGACTTACTTCCCATCTACTATTAGTCCAAGCAGATAGCTTCATCCTTCGATTTCCCCCTGGCTCTAAGAAAATCGGTTCTTCTCTCCCTTTCCTCCATTTCCTCCCTTTCTGCTTGTTCCCTTTTCCGTTGCCTGGCTAGTTGCCTTGCTTTCATTTCTGCGATGGTATACTTGGGTCGTCTATAGAGATGTATTAGCATAGAATATATGATAGTGTTCGTTGTGTGCAGTTGACTTGTATCTCATGATCAACACAATGTATGAGCTGAGTTCAACAGTTCAAATCATCAGAATGTTCAAATTGCATTGAAGATTCAAATTCCATCATTTTGCAGTTGCAGTCCAGACAATTGGAACCACTGGTATCAAAAGGGGAAGAAGAACTTACACGAATCCATACTTGCTAACACGCATGCCCAAGTTCACAGCAAGCCTTGCGTTCGCTTTTTGCACTTCCTTGACGGAAGCGGCGGCGGCAGCGGCAGAGGCGGTGACAATTCTCTGCTCCTCTTCAAATGCTTCATCCAACTCCTCAAAGAAGTCAGCAGGGAAGCCGTCATTCTCTGCCTCCTCGTTGACCTGGCCATTTTCAGCTTGTGGCTCAGGTGCGAGGGCGGCGGCGGTAGCGGCGGCGACTTCTTCTTCTTCCCATGCTGCATCAGTATCTGCGGGATCTTCAGGAAAGTTATTGTCCTGGGAGACCTCGATGGCCTGGTTGTTGTCTTCTAATTGTGCGGACATTGTTGGATTTGGAAGATATGGGATGGAAAGAATATCTAGTATGGGAAGAATGTCTGGTGCGAGAAGAATGTCTGAAGTTTGGTTGATCTTTGAATCCTAGAATCATAAAAAATTCTCATATACAAAATCATATTTCCATCTGGACCAGCTAAACTACCCCAGATTCTGTTTTGGTGCCGGTTAGGAGCTAAACTTTTGTAGTTCATGTCTAGTGCTGGATCGGCGTCTTTGAAAAGACTATGATGGACGTTGATGGCTCATATAAAGTCACTAACTAGAAACCAGAACTCAATGGGTACTAAGAGAGCTCTGTCAAGGGTTCAAAGGCTGAAGATCTACAGAAAAGAGTCTAAATCACATCATGACTTACGTTTTGAAGTCAAGAGTCATAATTTTCTGAGGGAAACTACGTGTGCGGTACAAATCTATTTATAAAAATACCTCGATATGACTTTAAAGTTTGAACTGCATACCAATATCCTTGAGAAAAGACTCTTCAGCAAATCGCAACTTCCAAATAATATTTGTTCCACAACTCATCATGAATCACCGCCGGAATCTCGAGTTCGACTGAAATTTGAAGCATCAAAAACCGTTGAACTCTAGAACTTTAACCTTGATTTTTCCCACACTAATAATTAGAAAGACGTATTGGTCATGTACTAGCTCCGAAGCTAGTCTTCCTGGCTTCGCACACAAGATTATAGATTATCACGTGTGGATTATTAGTTGCACATAATAGTATACCAATGCACTTTTACTTCAGAAGGAGTAAGAGATCCGTGTATACTAATGGTGTGATTCGATTACTAGATTTTGTTTGATCTATTTCATTGGCGGTCAGATATACGTTTTGGCATGTTGTTGGTGTTCTGAAGGGATCTTGCATCTCGCTTTTCTTTAGCGAAAATGATACTCCAGGGCATTCTCCTATGTCCCCCAAAAGGTGGGGGAAATAATGTTCACATGGTAAAGCGGAGCCTGTGTTATACAAGCATGATATGATCTTCAAGACTGGAAGTATATAATTATGTTGCTGTTTGTTGGATCGATTCGAGCGACAGCTATTTCCCATCTGAGGAAAGCAAATGTCCCGCTAGAGTTTTTAGTATGTATTCTACCAAAACGAAAAACTGTTACGGAAAGTCCCTCTTACCTAGTACGGAGCTAGAATCTTCAGATCGAGAAAGATAATGCCATTAGATTCGGTATGTTGAAGTAATTCAACAATATAGAATGTTCATAACCTCTCAGAAAGCAGGATTTTGATCAATTTCATGACATAGAATAGCTATGAGTACGTTAGCTTTCCGCAATTGCGAGCTAATTATGAATTAGCCGGTCGTTTAAGAGAGCGAGTTATTACAAAATCATTTATTATGAAGGGTTTCGCAGATTTTAATGTGAAGTACTTCGGTAGCTCATCGGGACAGAATCCAGAGAATCCTCCCAGCATATCCAAGTTTCGAACCAGTCCAAGGAGATGAACTAATTCTCACTATCCTATCTCTTAGCCTCCCAAGCCATGAGAGGAAACCCTAATCCACGTTGTAGAGGATATTGGCAAAGTTTCCCGATCTCTCTATTTCCCCAATCCCCCGATCCATGGACCAATGTTCAATGATTTATCGATTAGATAGATCGGACCTCAATTCATACTACAGGGGAGTCGCTCATTCTTGCCGTGCCGCCTGTGGCTGTAATGCCTCCTTCACATCTGAGCCGGCTTTTGCATGTCACATTTTTGATAGACTTCCAGAACAATGCTAGAAGAAATGTCAGATTCCAGAAGGAGACTGAAACGTCGATTTGAAAATTAGTTCCTGAGTGGCTTCAGAATTCTTGCGATTTTGTGTTTTGTCTTCTGATGTGTGTTGTAAGGGGTGGAATTCTTCACATGATTTTGAGATATAAATCCGGTTCCTGTAGGCAGTGGAAGGAATCGAAACATCTGAGCATTTCATATGGAACATTTTCGATTCTGGAAAAAATGGCTGTTTGGATCTTCAACCGGGATATAAGTGATATTCTGGGTAGTAGGCTATGTCGGCTGGGGATCACGCCCTGCCCAAGGTATCACGTTCGTTCGTCTTCAATCATCCACAATTTCTTGGATTAATAGATTTTCTTGTCATTAAGTAAGAGCATTTGCGTTTCGGGTTTATGTTGCAAGCCATAAAATAATGTGTGTATTGACAATAATCTTTTACTATGTGTTAGACAGTCTCCAAGTTCGCCAATATAGCTACCATTCATCTCGAAAGAATAAGATTTATCCCTTGCAGACCTTTGTCCCAAATCTAAAGGCCAAGATAGAAGCTATTTTAAACCATGTTTCGAAGAGTGGAATTTCCATGCAGGGCTGAAGAAAGCGATAGGCTGTGCATCATGAATATTGAGAATCAGCTGGAATTCCATGACGTCTACAATTGCGACCCGCCTCCAAGATCTAATGTAAGATCTTACGATATAGACTGCGAATCGATAACTTTATGATGTATTATTGGAAGGGTGGTAAGAATAAAGTATTGTCAATGTTTTGAAATCAGCTTGGAGTCGAGACAACTCAGAAATGTTGCTTTGCAGCATCGGGAAGAAAGAAATACGATTGCGGATGAGTTCAATTTCTATAATTGGTTGAGATGAAACATTAGCCTTACTTAGCAACCCCTAGTAACTAATACCTTAAACTAAACTCCTTCCCCGGATATCCGTGAAACATCTATCACACCACCAGATGGTCATGTGATCATCGTGAAAGCTTTGAATTCAAAATAGGTATGTGAATGGTTTTCGCATGTTGAGAGTCGAAAGTTGGGATCTTTGAGTTTGAAGTATATTGTATATCCGAACTGTTGGTAATACCTGGCCCAGTTGAAAAGACGATCTGCGCAAGGATCACGGGAGGTTCTGCATATACGGAGACGGTCCAGCAGCCGAAATATCACAACCTCATAGAATATGTGTTTTCCGCTTACCCCCCACATCCAAAGAGACGTTGTGTGTGAATAAAGTATCATGCCAATGGGATACGAGAAGGATACGAACATCAAATCAGCTGATAGTGACCAGCTGTACGCCAATGATTTGCTACACTTTTGGTATTTGAGGTCGTACAACCTCTACACACTTTGGATCCCTACTCCGCCGACGTGGGACAATACGACGGGAAAGCATGTGTAAACATGCGGACGAATCCCAGAAGAAAATCCCATGCGGACGATACTTAATCGCCCAGACAACCTTTAATAGAGATGAAATCTCAACAATTTTGGACCTCGCATAGTTGCGATGGCAACAAGTTTGAGTGTAGAGATACCCTTAAAGCTAGAAGCCAATATTACGGGATGTAACGCCATTTCTGCACGACTAATTATTTCCAACCATCAAATTTGAAGATTTTTGGTGTGTTCTTTCAATTACCCAGCTACGCACCGAGTTGAAACATTCATTGGGTCGTTTGACTCCCGAAAAATGCAAACGGACTCAGTTCGCTACCGCCACAAACAATTGCATGACAATATTCTCGTCATTGAAACCTTCAATATTCCAAGATATTGTTGTCGGGTTGGTAGAGAAATAGTTTCAAAGTTGCAATTGGAAATGTTTCACAAAAGCGGCTGTGAAACTCACGAAATGTGCCAACGAAAAGCAGCAATATAATGAAATTAGAATTGCCGTGACTTTGTCAAGACACGGTCAGCCTTGCATGATCTACAGAGTGGCTTCAATGGCTTTCCGGCTTTTACGTCTTTTGCCCAGGCTACCATGTAGTATCTGAGAATAGAAAATTTATTTTCAACTACATTGGTTTGCTCAACGCAATCTTGTAAGTATTGTTTACTATTGTTTGAGTCTAACCCAGTGAAGCAGAGACATATATCTATGCTACATCGAACACGAAGTCGAAGCCATAGCCATAGCCAAGGTATCCATTCTTAGTTTTATTTAAAATTATTCTCTTTTTGACCCTCCAACGGGCTCAGACCTAACGCCGAGCTGAATTCTCAACCTCTAGATTTCCTATAATATCTATGACACTTCGAGACTACCGTTCCCTTATAAATTCTTCCTCCCTCTTCATCATCTCTCTTCGTTGGACAGCCACATGTTAATCGTTACACAGCATTTGTTTATCACCTTTGTTACACTTCATTATGGCATGGATGAAGGGACTACTTACTAGAGCAGCTTCGTTGCATGCTTCATTATCTCAATATTCTACTAATGGTCAGTGATCTGTGGCTAATAGCATTGAACTTACTGACTTCTATTGTAGGGCGATCTACATATGGGTGTTTGAACGCCTCCACACTTCCTCCATTTCTAGACGATGGTGGTGTATGTTCACTTGGCGTCAAGCGAATAAGTTGATTTCTAGCTAACATCCACAAAGTCATATTACGGACACCCTTGGGGAAACGCCAAGCCAGGACCACACCTTCCACCTAATACTGGAAAGACTCGGTACTATGATCTCACAGTATCCAGATCTATCAAAGCACCAGATGGATTTCAGAAGAGTGTCATCTTAATAAATGATCAATTTCCTGGACCGCTTATCGAAGCAAATTGGGGAGACATGATAAGCGTTAGAGTCACAAACAACATTACTGATAATGGAAAAGAGGGGCTGAGTCTTCATTGGCATGGTCAACCGCAGAAGCTGAGTCCTTGGGCGGATGGTGTACCCTCTGTCTCTCAATGCCCCATTGCACCTGGCAGTAGTTTCACATACGAGTTTCGAGCCGAGTCTTTTGGAACCAGCTGGTATCATTCCCATTTTAGCGCCCAGTATAATGATGGCCTTTTTGGGCCATTGGTCATTTATGGGTAAGAAAACCTTCATGAACAACATAAGCCGCTTACTAAAATCTTGAAGCCCCAATCACGTAGATTATGATATCGATCTGGGTCCTGTCATGCTGGTTAGTCATTTACCTTTCACTCTTGTTATGGTACTGATGCGTTACAGTCTGACTATCTTCATCAATCATATCGTAGCATGGTCGCAGGCGTCGCGACAAAAGTTCCAAATGGTCCGATATTCCCACACGTGGACAATAACTTAATCAATGGAAAAGGGTCGTTCAATTGCAATTCTACTTTGAGTGGAACCTGTACACCGGATGCGGGGTTCTCCAAATTTAAGTTTACCAAAGGCAAGACCCACCGTCTCCGACTCATCAACTCTGGTAGTGCAGGCACTCAAAAATTCTCAATTGATGGACACCGACTTCAGGTTACGACAGTCGATTATGTTCCAATCGTTCCTTATACGACTAACGTGGTAACTCTCGGAATTGGTCAGAGAGCTGATGTATTGGTTCAAGCAACGGGAGAGTCAACGGATGCTGTTTGGATGCGATCTGATCTAGATGTTGCATGCATGCTTTTGACTTGCACGAACCCTCATGGTTTAGCAGCAATTTACTACGACAACGCAAATACGACACTTGCGCCGACAACAACAGGCGTATCATGGGACAGTAACGATTGTGCCAATGTCAGACCTCTCACCCGTATGCTGATGACTGAATATGCTGACACGAATCACAGGACCCGTTACATTTAACCATTCCCTACACTGAAATCAGCCCACCCGAGAGCCCGTCCATTACGCAGCACATGGAAATCAATGTTAGCGTGAACGGATCCGGCAGTGCTCTGTTCACCGTGAACAACTCAACCTTCCGAGCTGACTACAAGTAAGCTTTACATTCTAACACACATTTTCATACGATAACTAACCAACCTAGCTCACCCCTACTCCTCCTCGCCAGCCAAGGAACTCCCGTCTCAAACCTTCCTCACGACTGGAACATCTACAACTTTTCCAGTCACCCCTCTATCCGCATCCACGTCACCAATATCTGGGATACTCCTCACCCTATGCATCTCCACGGGCATGATTTCTTCGTGCTAGCTGAAGGAAAAGGAACATGGGACGGCACCATAACCAACCCATCCAATCCCGTTCGACGCGACACCGCACTCATGAGACCCGGATCCCCATCCGAACCCAGTTTCCTCGTCGTAGAATTCTTCGCGGATAATCCTGGCGTGTGGCCATTCCATTGTCATACGAGTACGCATGTTAGTGCGGGGCTTTTAGTCAATATTTTCGAGAGACCCGATTTGGTAGCTGAAGGGAGAGATCAGAGAGGTATGACTCCGCAGGTGGTGAAGGAAACTTGTGATGCGTGGAATGCGTATACTAGTGCTGGAGGGGAAGTTGATGAGATTGATTCGGGATTGCGTCGTCGAAGATATTAGGGTGGTAGATGATGGGAGATTACATTTTCTTTCTTCAATAATGCCTTACCACGAAGCGTGGTTGTTTTCTCTTCTTCTTGTTCTTCGAATCTTAAATGAGGGAGATTTCATGAGACAATAGTACCGATTGTGCCTCAGGAGTATAATGCATAAAGATAGTTTATTTGAACATTATTTTTTTGTCTCGTAATCAGAAACATGGTATTTGGGAAGCCCGCTGGTGGACTAATACTCACTGTCATTAAAATGTCCATATTTTCTTACGTTGTTGGATGAAAATAGTATGAATGTCTTCAATCCTAGGACTACAGATCTAATGTGTTCAATAATCTGCACCGTGGTTTAACGAAAGACTTCTGAATAGTTATTCTTTTTTAGACACTAAGTAGGCTTCAAAGATGGATCTCACTTTGAAAAATGAATTCGTTCGGCACGACGCTTTATTAGCTCAGTTCAGATAATTGAGTGCACTACATGAATGCTATTTCTTGTTGCGCACCGCCAGGCGAACATCATGTTACTTTTTCGGAAATAAAAGAGAGAAAAAAACCCAATTTCCAATGACCTTTATGAGAGACAATTTCTCATTCTATTCTGCATGCACATTGCGAACGTATCCCCACTGCCTCATCCGGTTATTTACACAATCTCCGTCGATCGGATCCATACTCGTCAAGGTCGAACTTCCTTCGACAGCCTTCTCCGTATCAAGCCAGACCTGTGTTCTACCTTCCTTCTCTTTTTCGACCAGACCCTCATAAAACTCAAGTATTTTCACTGCTGGATTATCATTCATTTCCATATCCTATATATTCGCTGCACTATCACGTACACGCTGTACCTATTCTTGGTAAAGTATAGTGGGAAGATCTAGACTGTAGCCGAGGAAGCATAGCATCTGAATACGTTGTTCGTTTTGGGTTGACGATATGGTAGACTCTGGGTAACCCGGAAGACGATTCAATCGTCGAATTCGACTTCAGTGTACCGTGCTTGGAAGATGTCACAAGTTCGTAAACGACTTTCCTAAGTACATCGACGGGGATCCAGTCAACAGCTCCGAGTGGCCCCAACGACGAAGGTAAAACCTTCAGATATTTTGATAACTTCAAAATTAAGGGAAGCCATCCCTGTTCGTCCCAGCTTCCAACAGTGCTCATACTGGAGATGAAGTGAATGGAAGGACCGAATCTTGAGTGAGCAGAGGATTCAATCAATTGACGAACACGACGAACACGTGTTGCGCTCATTTGGCTAAAGGACACATTGAAGTCAACATGCCAAGCGTTGTGAATGATGTGCGTTACTTCATTGAGCAGTTCCTTGTATTGGTAAAGTTTAATGCCCAACCATGCTTCCGTATCACCGGTCGCTATGCTGAGAAGACGGACACGGCTAAAATCTGTGAAAAGGCCCTTAGACGAGCTGGAAGTAAGCTGGCGTTTCTCGATATCTTCGCCTCTATTGAGACAATAAACTTTGCATGTCTTGTCTTCTTCAAGTAGATTGCTTAGAATGTATGAGCCCAAAGATCTAGTAGACTCAGTCAATAGAGATACTTTAGGTCCAATGACTAATGTCGATGGCCTAGCAACAATGGGTAGGTCAGAAATGAAACATTCATATTCTTCCTGCATTTCACCATGATCTTCATTTCCGTCTTCAGCAGAGTTCGAGAGAGCGCGTGCTAATTTTTCTGGACTTGGATATGCATGTATCATTGGATCGCGTATTGAATCCCGTGGAGGATTTTGTGATTTGAACACTGAGTTGATTGCCTTCGTTAATGAGATCATGCCTAGCGAGTCCAGCCCATGTTCAAAGAAATTGTCAGAAAGAGAGAGGTTTTCGAATCCTTCTAGATTCGAGATGGTTTGAATGATGGTACCTTGCACGTCAGAGCTCGCGCCCTTATCCACAGAGCTATTTCCGTTTGTAATATCTCTGTTCATTCCTTGTTCATTAGTAAATATTTCATAAAGACTATTGAGCTCTGCTTCATACAGTTTTTAGGCTTGCTTGCGTTGTACTGTAACTTTCCCAGCTCTGGGAAATGGTTTGTCTGGTTTGGTAAATGCGACGAAGTCCTTGCTCGTTATACGCGCATGCGCGGGACAACTAATATTTGCAGTCTTTATTGTTGGCAATGATTCATCCAATAGGGACTTCTTGGACCTTTCGATATTGACTGGTTCGACTAGCAAGGACGACTGAAATTTCTTAGTACCATAGACTATGGCAGATTTAACTTCAGGATGGGAGTTGAAAGCATTTTCCATGCTGATCGGATTGAACTTTTCCCCGTAGAATAGACGATAATATCGTCAGAACGGCCCTCATGACGCCAGAGATTATCTTTATTAGGGTGCTTGGAAAATAAATCCCGAGTTTTGTATTCGGAAAGATCTGGAAACGTACAAAAGATGCCTTGGTATGCTTCTATGGATAGATCACGAACGATCACAAGCTCAAAGAGTTCGGGAAACTGATGCCGCATTTCAATACAAAATGATGTAGAAAAATCAAGATAGTCCCACTACTTCATGACAGAGTCAGTAGGCATGAAATCAAGGCTAGGAGGCCTGAAAGAAGTATCCATAAAAACAGTTTAGGTGGAAAATGCTTACATTTTCTTGAGGTGGTAAAGTCGCTTGAATATATCCTGTCTCTGTTGACCTAAACCCCACAAACAATCGATGTATGAGAACTGATGATATCCTCAGGCCTTTTAGGCAGTGGGCCACCTCCTGTCATGATATGTTTGACAAGAAGAAGGTTGTTCAAGAACTCAGGAACCTTCGATATCTCCACTAATATTGCAGGTGGAAGATCCGCCACCAGCACTTTACCATGTATATGAACCTCATTTACTAACTCCGCAGTCAATGAAATAGGCAGTGGAAGCACCGCTATTTGCTTGAAGTATATAGCAGTCATTATCCTGTAGACGCTCGCGGCATCTTTTCATGATGATAAGTAAGTAATGTATTCTTTGGAACTTCCTGAAATTGGAAAGTACGTTGCAAACTTGAAACATAAATCTGGAGTCCAGTCTAGAGCTGAGCCACCAGAAGGGAGAACGATACGCACGAAATAGTGGGAATGTCAATAAGCACCGTAAACCTCGTCAATATTCAGATGTTGTAGCAATTCCATAAAGCGAAGTAGCCCTTTAAGAGGCATCTAGACCTGTAATAACACCTTGTGGTACAACGATAGGCTTGGGTGTTCCTGTCGTTCCAGATGTATGTATAACAGCAGCAAACGGTTGAAATCTCGCCTCTTCATATGTTGCGGTATACTTATAGTGAGGTAAGATTTATCGAACCTATTTATTATACTCTATGGATTTTATAATAAAATCCCTACAAAAATAATGTTTTCTTATACAAATTAAAAAAATTTAATTTATAATACTTTTCCTATATAAATTAAGCGATTTTTTAAAGAAAATTTATAATTTTTATCATTGATAGCTTATAAATTTATAAATAGAATATTTAAAAATAACCTAGCCTTTTTTATATATAATTAAATTAATTTTAAATCGATTTTGAACTCTTCTTATTATTTTATATAAAGTTTTAGTAAAGAAATAGGGGGTTTGAAAGCTGAAAAATTGATGGTTTTAGTAGAGAAATCGAAATCTGTGCGGTGAGGAGGTTCCAGAACTCTTACATCAAATTCAGGATGAAAAAGTAATCTAGGGTGGGAACAGCTATGGTCCCAAGATCGACTTTAGTTTGAATGTCACTAACAATCTTCCGAGATATCTGGGAATCCTTTGCAAATAGGGATTTACCGCATCGATAATCTTTAAGTAGCTTGGTATGCGCTTCTAGGCTATTTGGCCGGGATGGCACAAAGAGCTACCAAAAGTAAGTCAGTGTGGAACGAAGCGTGAAGGGATTGACAGACCTTGTCTCCAATTTTGATCGCTGCTATCATCAGGAGTATTTACCGCAGATCATGGGGACCAATATAGGCAATAGAGTCGAAGTTTTTCCTAAGGCTAGTGTATTTTTCCACCCAGTTTGACGCGACATCTATGGCTTTATCCAATTGACTGAACGTGATGTCCTCGAATTCATCACGCGGGTCGGAAGTCAAGGGCCTAGAGATGCATACTCGATCAGGCTCATCAATTGCAGCTTGATGTATATAGTGAGCGACTAATCGCTTTCCCCAATCCCAAGGCAGCTCTGAGATTGAAATATCTATTGCCATCTCCATTCCAGGTTGCAGAAGATTCTCAAAATGCAATTTGGTAAAGATATTTGTCAAAATTGAAAGATCGTGTAGCTAGCAATTTCAATCTGTATAAGTCGATATATATAATGTTCAAGGGTTTCCGAAAGGGTGGGCTTCGAAGCGCTTACTATTGTAATCTGCGCTCTTGATCCAAGTGATCTCTCCCTTGCAAAATTAGTGCAATAACCGTACGATCTTCATAAAAACATCCTAGAGTGTGAATTTGAGAAACAATGTAAATGAAAGGAGGATCTAGGTCAGGGAAGTCATACTGGGTAATTCGTACATGGGTGACAGATTGCTTTAAACACCTGAAAGGCTAGCAAGTCACGATAATCCGAGGGCCAAGGCAACTGACAATTGATATCATCAAAAAGTCTCTCGAGTCACCTCCTAAAAGGTGATTTGGACAAATTGGGACAATTTCGCATAAGTGCGATTTCGTGGGCGTGGGAACATATGCCAAAATTGCATCAGCTTGCATGACTAGTGAGCGATAACCGAGCAATACTGCAGACGTTTTGCTGTATCAAAAGTCAAGATGATCTTTAGAAATCAATCTCAAACTTTAGGCAATATTAGACTAGGAAGGTTTAGATGCAGTTGCGTTCGCATTCGAAAATTCATTGGAATTCACATTGCAAATGTAATGGTTGATACTGTGCAGACTTCTATCAAACGAAGGGAAACGATCGACTTCAGAAATCCCTCCTTGCAAAATAGAGTACCAATTTTCAGGTATAATATATGGCCTTGCAGGGCTAGCTGCATCGACTGAAAATCAGCATTCTACGTGGAAATCTACTTGACTCAAGTAGCGGAGATGACTAAAATGAATCTCGTTTAACAGTGTGGCAGAAACTAAAATTCATGTTACCAGATAGAAGATATTCGTTCCGGGACGATTTGTGATGTTCACTTGAAACAGGACAAGAGCATAAAGGAATCTTGGAAGACACGAATTTCCCGACGTCTTAGAGTTCAAGGACTCTTTATGTGGCGACAGAATCCTGTGACTGGAGTACCAGTGATACAAGACTCACTCATACAAGGAGTAAAAATTCTTGGAATAATCAAGAATTCTTATCTCGTAAACGACCTCTTGCATAATAATTTGTGGTACTGCTGAAACTCAATATGTGAATAAGGGTTCCCTATAGATTAGAATGATGTGCAAGAATGGGAACTTAGCTGTTGTTTCATTCGAGAAGCCGATAGATGTGTTTGATATGCTCCCGATGTGTAAAGTGTCATGAAGAGGAGGGCAGATAACGCTAACGTTCACCGCTATGTAGCAGTAAATTCAGCTTTCTCAGCCGAGTTCATCGATCCGTCTGACAAATATTATAGAATTCTTCCAGTTTCTGTGTAACGTAGTTTAACACCGAGTGCACCATATCACCGAATGCACCACTTCAAAATACACCAAAATTAGCCTTTTCCTAATATTCATATTTTAATACTTAATCAATATTTTTTAAAAAACAAAAAAGATTTATTAATAAGAAAATATTTTTTATAAAAGTATTAAGTTTCTATATAAAAATTTCTATTATATTCTATAAAAAGTGGAAATTGTCACGATTTTCGTTACAAAAAAACTATTCCTATAATAACTACTATATTAATTCAAATTTTTAACAAATAATTAAATTTTTATAATATTTATATAACGTAACGTATGGGGAACTCGGACATATGGGGAACTCGGACACTTTTTCAATTATTCTACACGCGATCTTGTTCTACGAGCCACACAATCCTCCAATTCCAATTCCGAATCACTTGAACTATTCTCTAGCTCTTCTTCTTCAATCTCTTCTTCTGATTCTTCAATTGGGCGTTTGCGTGGCCGTCCTCGTGGCTTTTTCTCCTTCGGTTTTTCCTCCGCCTCACGTACTATTTTCAATACTTCCTTAGTACTAAAGACAAATTGACCTTGTAATTTGACTCTTTTGCCTTTAGTTCTTTTCTTTCGAGTCTCAATTACCTCCTGAGCATCAGAGAGCTGTTTCCGAAGTAGGGCTATCTCAGCATTTTGAGATTCTACAAGCCTAGTCATTCTCTTGGCATATCGACGAGTTGGCGATGCAGGAGAACCACTGCTTGCTAGAGCTGTATTAAAGATCTGATTTGCTTGCCTTAGTTCTGTTCCATCTGGAGGAGAACTCCTGAGTATAGACAAGTCTAGGTCTTGATTGGGGGTTCTCATTTGTGGAGTAGAAGGTTGCTGGGAGGAGTTAAATGGTAACGTAAGTCATGGCGTAATGCGTCTAATGGCGTAATGCGTCTAATTGTGGGGGACCACCCCATCAAAAAAGCAACAATTCAACAATGGTCCGTCGAAAAAGTTTAAAAGTGCAGGAAATGGAATCTCGACTTTCTGAAGCAGTATTAGGAGTTCAAAATGGAAAGTATAAGTCTTCATATGAAGCTGCAAAAGAACTGGGGCTTTCTAAAGATACTGTGACGCGACGCGTCAAAGGGGGTTCGTCGCGTTCTGAAGCACGTCAATCGCAACAGAAACTTTCTGCTGTACAAGAGAATGTACTTCTTAAGTGGATAAAGCAATTGACAATTAGCGGCTATTCACCAGGCCATCAGTTGTTAAAAGAATTGGCTGAGGAGTTACGTTCAAAACGGACTTATAATTTGGATTGCCCCTCATTTGACTCCCTTGAACTCCCACCACAACACCTTCTTGGTCATGAATGGGTTCCACGATTTATCAAACGACATCCTCATCTTACAGTTGTTATTGGCCGTCGAATTGAATCTGTAAGAATGGATGGTGCAACCAGGGAAACATGTAGTACTTGGTTTGACGCGTATCAAAAAGCGATTCAGGATTATGGAATTGAGAAGAAAGACGAATATAATATGGATGAATCTGGACATTCAATTGGGACAATGGAATCAACTCGAATTATTATCGATTCTACACTTCGTACAAAACATCAAGCACATCCAGGCCGTCAAGAGTGGATTTCAATGGTAGAGTGTATTTGTGCGGATGGATCCATTCTTCCACCACTCGGGATTTTTAAAGGTAAAAATGTCCTTCAAAATTGGATTCCGAAGGAAGTTCTTGGTAGCTGGTTCTTTTCAGCAAATACAAAGGGCTGGACAAGCAATCTTCATGGATTAGAATGGCTAAAACGCGTTTTCGAACCTGCAACTCGTGCAAAAGCAGGTGGCAAATATCGGCTTCTCATCTGCGATGGCCACGATTCTCATATTAGTGGAAGCTTTATAGCTCACTGCCTTCAAAATCGAATTGTACTTCTTATACTTCCTCCTCATACCTCGCATTTGCTTCAGCCACTTGATGTTGCGGTTTTCGGTCCATTGAAAAAACGGCTCACCGCAGCACTTTCTGATTTGAATCAAGCTCAACTTGTACGAATACAAAAGATTGAATGGATGGAGGCATATATTAAAGCTCGAGCCGACGTATGCCATCATCAAAATATCGAATCGGCATGGCGGGGAGCTGGGTTACATCCATTTAATCCACAGAGAGTGTTCCGTACACTGGGTCGAGAGTTTACCCCCGAAGTCGAAATATCCAAAGAACCAACCCAATTTGATATTTTTAACCAAGTCTTCGTCAATAGCTCACCCCCGGATGTAGCAATCTTACAAACAGCAAATAACCTTTTAAATTCAACAATTGAAAATGATACGACTCTTTCAACCCCGGTTCGTCAATACATTCGAAAATTGACGATTGGGAGTGAGCAACTTCGAGCTCAAAGTATTGTTCACCAACACGATGCGAATAATTTACGAGCTATTATGAAGAAACGTACGATACGTAAGAAAGGAAAGAGACTAGTTTTGAAGGGTCATTTTCATATTTCTACGCAAGAATTATGTGATGCAGTAGTGGAAGTCGAAAAAGCTACTAAGGTACAGACAATGAAAAAAGGAAAAGGGAAAGGGAAAGTAATTGAATATGAAACTGAAACTGAAGAGGATATTGGAGAAGAAGTTGAAGATGAATCTGAAAGTGATACTGGAGATTGTATTATAGTTGATTGTTGAGTAATTGAGATTTTAATAGAGTGGTTCCCCGCAATTAGACGCATTACGCCATTAGACGCATTACGCCATGACTTACGTTAATGAATCGAGTACTTTTCGTGGGGCAAAAGGTACTAAACCAGCTCCTCTCCAGCCAGCTTTAATATTAGAAGAATTCAATGCTTTTTTTCTAATATTTTGAAAGAGTTCTACCCATTCAGCTCTTTGGATTCGCTTTACACCAGCTCGAGAATATCGATCGACCTCTAAAGCATGATATCGTTTCATTGGCCCATACACCGCAATATCAAGTGGCTGAAGCAAGTGAGAGCAATGAGGAGGTAATATAAGTAAATCAATATCATTATCTATACAGAAAGCAATAAAGCTACCTGTAATATGGCTTGAATGGCCATCCATGATCAAAAGTCGAGGTCGGTCACCTGACACTTTCTTGGATTCTGGTTCGAAAACCCTTTTTAACCATTCTAATCCATGGCTATTTGAGGTCCATCCATTTGTACTAGTAGAGAACTGCCAGCTTTGAGGTGTGTCCTTTGGAATCCATGCAGAATTCGTATTCTGAGCCTTGAAAATGACCATAGGTGATAGAGCATTTCCAGCTGCATTGACACATTCAAATGCAGTTATCCATTCTTGCTTGCCAGCTGTAACTTTCCAATTCGATTTCTGAGTAGAATCGACTATAATGCGCGTACTTTGAGTACTTCCAACTCCAAATCCGGTTTCATCCATATTATACATATCATCTAATTAATTCATACTTTCGCTCAATGAGACGCGTGCGAAACGCGTCAAACCAAGCCTGAATATTCTCCGGAGTTGCTTCTTTAGCCCGATTAGACTCTAATTGACGTGAATAGCATGTTTTAAGTTCTGGATGTCGTTTTTGGAATCTATAGATCCATTCGTGGCCTATAGGTGGAATTTCTGTCGAGGTAGGATTTCGAGATGACGCGACCCGAACGCGTCGAAGACGAATTTCGTCGGCCATTTCCTTCACCAACATAGGTGTAGCAGGGAATCCAGTGATGGTAAGTCGTGAAATCCATCGTACAAGAGTATTTTCTTCTGCGTTTGAAAGAATTTGAGCCATTTCGTGGGTTTGGGAACGTGTTTTCTTCCCAGCCAGCCTATCAGCTAGGGTAGACTTAGGGACTTCAAAATGCTCTGCAGCCTTTCTAATTGATTTAAATTCTTTCAATTGAAGTGAAATTATAGCCTTTTGAAGCTTCTCTTCAATTTGAGCAGATGTAGAAGGTGATTGGGTATGCATAATAAAAGTTATTGCGGTTTCAAGTTGGTGATGGGCTAAAAGTGTCCGAGTTCCCCATATGTCCGAGTTCCCCATACGTTACGTTAATTAAATGTTACAATTTCAAATTTTGAAAAATTATATTATTAAATAAAGAAAGTGCACGGTTACGCACAGACGTATTTTGTATGTAAAATTCGTGGTGCACTCGGTGTTAAACCACGTTATTCAAACTAGGTCGTGACTTGCATTACGTAAGACTTTTCCAATAGATATAGGGCAGCTCCTTGCGCATTCTGAAGACCAGAAATCCCGAGGAATAACGCTAGAAACCTCGAACATACAGTAAGCCATCAACCACAGAAGCATAGGTTGACTGATGGCGATATATCCGTCAATGTCGCCCGAATGAATAGTGTCGTCGAGCTATTTAATATTTGACCGATATATTGCAATGATTTCATGCTTGGCAACATAAAGCATATGCTAGATGATCCGTCAGAACGGAAACATCAGCACTAAGTCAAATGGATATGGTAATCATCAAACACTATTAATATCCTGGTCGGAACACCATATTCAGTAGCGGCAAGGAATTTATGGAGCTAAGAAGAGTATACATGCACTCCTAGTAATTGCGATTGGTCCTTAAGAAGAACTACAACGGACACAGTAGGTGTTGTCGATATGTGACTGCCGGCAGTGAGAGTAGATGCTCTCAGTTGAGTCTAACAAGACATGCGACGGCTAGGCCGGGGACCCTTGGATTTACGATGACGTAAATAGATACAGCTCTTTCGGAGGTATTCCTCACTTAAAATCTCGGTAATCTTTAAGCGATCTACGTTGTGTGTAAACTTGATGCAAGGAAAAAGTCTTTCATGAACTGTATACCACCACGCGAGAGAGCTACATCAGGACTAGCGTTGGTAAACTACACCACAATTGTATAATTAGTCTTTGTAAAAGAGATAAGTGTAACAGTGAGAAGGAATATAATTTATCATCCTCTCGAGTTCATAAGAATTGGGCTAAGTCACCGTTTGTTCAAAGATACTATACTTATCCTTGTCAAGTGATTTGAAACAAACTTATATAAACTAAAAGTTATCAAAGTTATTTACTACACTCTATAAATTTTTATAAAAAATCCCTACAAAAATGATGTTTTTCTATACAAATTAAAAAAGTTAATAACTTTTTTAGTTTAAAGAATTTTATTTTCAAAATTTCAAAATTGTTACGGGAGCTGCCTCTAGGTCACGTGGAAGTGGCTAGAGTTCTCTCGAGGTGGTTTAGACTAGACTTCAAGTAGGAATTCAATAAGGTTGTAACTGGTTGCAATTCTCGTAACTATAGTAATGAAACTAATGATTGTTCTTGAGCACGAAGCTCTACATTGTAATGAAATCCCATTCCCTTATATAGATCTTCGTACTCTGATGTTGGTTGGAGTTTCTTGGAGCCCTGGCTCCTGGGGACTCCACCACGTGACACTTGTCACATGGCATTCTGTTACCCATCGTAACAAAAATAAGTATTTAATATTATTCTTTATTGAAAAAAAAACATATTTTTTATTTTTCATTATTTTTGATTATAAATTATATAGATTTGAAGTTAGAAAAATTTAAAAATTAAAAATTTGTATTTGTATTATTTTCTTACATAAAATAAGCGATTTTTTTGAAAATTTTATAATTCTTATTTTCAATAGTTTATAACTTTATAAATAAAATATTTAAAAATAAACTAGTTTATTTTTAATTTAATTGAATTAATTATAAATCGATTTTGAATTCTTTTTATCATTTTATATAAAGTTTTAATAAAGAAATAGGGGCCTTAAAAGCTGAAAAATTAATGGTTTTAGTAGGGAAATTGAAATCTGTACGATGAGGAGGTTCTAGAACTCTTATATCGCAAGCCTTGAGTACACTAAAGAAGCAGGTGTCTCTGGCAATAAGCCTTTCACCATGCCTCTGGATTATCACCTACTTTAGTTCCATAACGAAAGCACTATTGTCATCATATGAACGGCATGATCTGTTTCTTTCCAGTTTTCTTATTCTTCAATACACCAATAGACTACGTATTTGTTCGCGAATCTGCATGTTGTTTTTGTCGTCAACTGTCTTTCAACTACATGAATCGATTATCAACGTTATTGCTATTCAACGATAGCTGCCTCACGCGCTCTCGATCCTGTCTTGGCAACTTTGGAACATGTTTTTTTTGACGTATGTTATTAATTTTTTCTCCAAAGTCATTGACGATTAAAGCACATTAGACTAATGGTATGATAACCTTCCTGGTGTTCGACTTTAAGAAAATGCCCAATGGTAACGCCGAACGACAAAATTTTCTACTTTCAAATCTCTTTGCTCTTTCGAGCATGCCTTCAGTTCACTTAAATCCTCCAATCTATCTCAAATTTTAAATCAGTTGAAATCCACCACTCTCGAAAACTCAAACCATTCAAAACTTCCATCTACTAGAAAGGGTCTTGTTAACGTTTATGAGTCCATACACGGACTATTGTCATACCTAGGTATCTAGGTGAAACTATCAAGGATGAGTTTTACTGACATCAATCAGGATTATATTTCCGCCAACATTACCAAAGTTATATACATCCATCAATATAACCAAACCAAAACCAACCACCCTATTTCCATTTTCCATTGCGAAACCGCAGATAAGAACTTCTGTCTCAAAGTTCAAAATCATTTGCCTCCTACTTTTTCCTTCCTATGATTCCAAGACTCTGAAAAACAAACTAGAACAACTATTTCCCAAATCTAATATCTAGAAAACCTCAACAGCTGATTTCTCTTCAGACAAGCGTACGCGAGAGCAGTAATCGACAACTGATAATACCAAGGCTTCTGACGCGACAGTAGTTTGTCCTCACACCTGTTAGTATATCCTGAGATAGTATTACACGTTGAGAATATTCTCAATAAACAAGTGTGTTTCTGTGTCCTCAAAATGCTGATACCGACGCCGCACAATCTTGCTGTCTCTCGAGTAATGAGAAGCAGTGGCATGCATGAGGTATCTCATACAGGGGCCGCAACTTGAGCCATAAAACCCCAGACTATGAGGCTCTAGCCATGATCTATGATTTTTGATCCAGCTAAAGGCTTTAGGGGCGCTGAATGCCCTCTCGAGTTCTTCGAAGCTGTGCGTAATCTCTTTCTCACCTTATATCGAGCTATTTTAGACTGCAGATGAATAATCGTCCAAGAATCACCATATATCATCAGAATTCACCATATGGTTATCGTATCTATCCGCCCGTCTTTGTCCTGAGAATGAAAGTTAGCTTATCATCAACCCTAAAATCACCGCTGCTTCTCTATAACCTGTATTGACCGCCTCAATATAGGTATCAACAGTCCTTTGAACCACATCATTAAAAATAATAATAGTAACATACTCGCTTCCTCGGCATCTCTCCTCCACTTTCTAAAATCATGCCAAAATTCCCATACCCTCCCAAACACCCTCCCCAATCTCGATCGAATCCTCGCCATAATATTTCTCTTTTTAAAATTCTTCTCTCTCCGATTTTTGGTTGCCTGTGTAGCACATCTCATTGTATCTATGTAATGTCCTGATTAGCGAGTACTCTTGCACAATATTGAAGTGTTCACATACCAGATATCTGTAATCCGAAAGTCTAACTTCTGATAGAAGACATTGATGACAGCTCTCCGATTTATCAACTATACAATCGCTAAGCAAGCACGCAACAGAAATAACAAATATAAGAAGATAATCAAGCTTTTTCCTCCACCACTCTATTCCACGCCACCAACTCGTTTAAGATAGCTGGGGCAGACAGGTACAGCCAAACAACACGTCGTAGAAGCGTAACCGACAATCCGATCTGATTATGATTCGTAAAACTGTTATATATATAAACCACACACAGAAAGAGTTGTGGCTTCGATCCAACGTAATAGAAGAATCAAACAATTAAACAAGCTTATTATGACGGTTGGTTGGTGTAACATAACAATGATACAATAGATAAGGCTGAATCCGCGTGTATCTACCCCGCTAGATCATAGACAGTCGGACACGACGTAGAAGACGGAGCCTTCCTTCTCCCTCAAATACGCCTCGATATGGATATTGTGTTAGAAGATCAGTATTGAAAGCCAACAAGAAGACAAGACAAAACAAAAGAATGGTTCAAAACCAACGATAGAATTGACACTCAGACTTACAGCCCCTTTTTATTATTATTTATCAAGTATTCCTATTCCTCCGCAGAGCCTCGGCGATGCACAATTCAATCCCTCCCCCCCATTTACCCATTCCAAGCTCTAGTTCCAGTTCCAACACCACCCACCACGCACCCCCACGCCAACGCGCAAAACCCATTCAAACGGTTCAAAAACCCATACCGAAATCCACTCTTGGAGCATGAATCCTCACGATCAACCAAACTCCTCCCAAACCACACAATCAGCGTGTAACCTCGTACGAAGCGACCCCGCTCATCCAACCAATATTACCCTGCCCCATCCAAACACCAGGGCATTTCTGCACCCGCGCCGCATGATTGCAGAAGACTGGATTGAGATTTTTTGTTCGTTCGCCGTATCCATTTCCGTATCCATTTAGCCGGTTCGCCAACCAACGTGAAGGGTACCGAACGGTCGGGTCGATGGATCGGGCTGAGCCGCCTTTTGAGTACCGAATGTCCAGGCTTGCGCTCATGAGCTTTGCTCTTTATGATGATGTTGAAATATAGTGAAATAATAACGTTTGGGACAAGATAGAATTCTCAAAATAGAACTCTGATAGGAAAAATGTACATCTTAACAGACATTAATACCTTGAGGAGTCAAGTAAAGCACCTAAGTGAGTACTTTCAATTTTTCATTCGACTGAAAAGAATAAGACGATACCTACCCCGACTTCCATCGAGCCGGCTTGCTCTTGAAAATGAAACATGAGGAACTGTTATGAAATATATTATATTCGAAGTATTATTACAGCATTCGCGTGTGCATTGTGTCAGGTTCATACTAACAATCAATAATCAACCCCCACTAGTATGCATTATCATGTAACAAACAAAAAACTCCAGAAACGAGCGCGATAAGCAAATGCCGCGACAACCGCGGAGAGACCAGAAAGAGTTTTACAGTGTAAAGTCAAGCAATGCTGACTCTTAACGCCGCAAATATGCCTTGTTAGAACCGCTACTCCGCAATCCCATCCTTCCGTCCATAATAGCCACTTCCAGTGTTTCCAGCCCTGCCCCTTTCCATCCTAGCCCACCATTTTCATCTCCCTAAACCATAAATTGAATGTCGAAAATCATCAAGATCATAAAATGCTTATAGCATGGTGCCAAAAGTGCCATCGGTTGGGATGGCCTTTCTTGGGCTAGACTTCCCATCATCATCTGTGTTTGGCTTACGATGTCTAAATGTAAATCCGACGAACAAACTCTTGCTCATAGCATCTTCTCTATCGGCCATATTCTCCAAGGCCGTTTGCTTGTCATGGACCTCCTTGTATTTAGCCATATCAGCTTCGTTGCTGAAATCATCAAAGTAGCCTGCATCGGTTTCAGAGTCCAGCTCTGGTACAAATGGAGCACGTTGCGACCGAAGAGTATTCCAGTCAACCTCGGCAAAGTATTGATGTCCATAGACTTCTGAGATTGTGGAGAAACGCTTGACCTTAGATGTGATGCAGCTATTTCTGTTAGCAAATGCTTGTCTAGTGGCAAGTATCATAATTACCTTGTAATGAAGTTCCAAGTGCGATTACTAATAAAGTAATTTGGATCCTCCCAAACTGGTCTTTTCAACACTTCTCTCCAATGCTTCAAATTCTTCCAGGTTTCATCAACGGTAGCACCGGCAAAGGGAGGAAATCCTGTTAAAGCCTCGAAATGCATACACCCCAAGCTCCAATAATCCACTGTGAAGTCATACTCATCTCCTTTCAACACTTCAGGGGCCATATAATCAGGTGATCCAACAATCGACTTGGCGTAATTAACATCTTTGTTTCTCAAGGATCTGTAACCTTCTCGGCGTTCCGCAACAGTACGCTCTTCGATAGGCTTGCCAAATGGAACATATGTCTCTCCAACCTTTTCAAGCTTCACTCGCATGGACTCAATCTTGCCTGGAGCAAGGAAACCTGCAGCAAGTCCAAAATCCGTGAGCTTGACATGTCCCGTCGAATCAATCAAGAAATTCTCGGGTTTCAGATCTCTATGAATATAACCGAGCTGATGCAAAGCATCCACGCAACAAAACATTTCGGCAATGTAGAATCGAGCATGTCTATTGGCAAGGACGCCAGTGTTGTTCAGTAGGGTTCGGAAATCTCCACCTGGGACATATTCCTAAAATAAGTTAGCAATGCGCACCCGTATAAAGTGAGATAAATCCTACCATAGCTAGATATATACTCTTCTCATCCTGGAATGAGTAGAGCAATCTAACCAGCCATTCGCTCTTGGCATTGGTCAAAATATCACGTTCCGTGAGGACATGTCTAATCTCGTCCAGCTTGAACAATAATTTCTTGCTCATAACCTTCAAGGCACAGACTTCCCTAGTATCCTTCTTCTGAGCAAGGAAGACCTGTCCATAACCACCTTGTCCAACTTGTGTCAAAATTTGGAAATCGCCCTGGCGTAGGCGCACTCGACGTTTGCGCAAATTGGCACGCTCCCTACCGGCATATTTGGACCAGACTGGAATATATTCTTCTTCGGGAGTTTCTGGGGGAGCGGGATATTCTGCCTTGAAATGATTGAGTCGATTTTGACGCGATCCGACGTAGCTCAAGAGGTCATAATAGTAATCAAGAAAGTCTGCTTATAATTAGTAGTGCTACTGTAGAACAACAAAGGAATACTCACAAAGCTGGGTCACATTGGCCAGGCGTTTCACATTTGGCTTGTGCAAAATCTCCAATTCCTCTGCAGTCAATCCACGTTGCGTGTTGTATTTTCTGGCCGGTGGTGGTGGAATTTCCCGAGTTTGATAGAGCTCCTGGCGTGAAATCGCTGCTTGGTTTAGAGAAGGGGAATCGCGAGCGACCGCTGCTGGATTGAGCGATGGGGAATCTGTTTGTCTTGCGGCTTGAGGAGTATTGTTCTCTTTACCTTGTCGTCGTACCGGGCTCCCTGAAGGGATCGATGATTTTTGGATGATACTCTCATCAGTGTTCCCGGTAGGATTGCTAAAGAATTCATCGACTGCGTTGGCGTTCACTCCCTTCCCTGGAGTCAATGGGTTGCCAATCGGAACGCGACCAGTCTTTGTTGGACTGCTCAGATTGGCAGGAGTAAGCTTCATAGCAGAATCGAAAGCTGTAGGCAATTCGTTGGCTCCAGGTGGATTGCGATTCTTGCTTGGACTTCCTTGAGGCGTTGAAACGGGATTTATGAAGTTGCTTCTATTGACGGGAGTGCTGGGTCGATCACCAAAACTTTCATTTTGACTAGAGCGAGTGTGCAAAGGTGGTGGGGGAACTGGCAAGATATCATCATGTTTCCCAGCTTGTGCGGAGGGGAAAAGATTGGTTATGAAGCTGGACATTGTTCGACTTCCTAATCGCGGATTGGTTGTTAGGAAGAATAACTCTGCAGAATGACAACGCACTTCAGACTAATGAAGGAACGGAGCAATCACAAAACGTAAAGCTCGCAGAAGGTTGTATTAAAAAGAACAAGTGCGAGTGCAGAGTGGCGGGGCTCGAAACGATTGAATATGAAGCGTTGAATGTGAACGTTCTGGCTCCACGATTGCATCGAATCCCCCAAAGAAAGTGGTCTAAAGTACCTGTTCTTGCATAAGGTAGGTGGGGGCGGTCTTGGGCAATTGATGTTTATTTGTGGGAAAGAGCGCTTGAGATGGGTGTGAGATGGGTGTGTGAGATGGTTGCGCAGAGCAACCACCAGTAAGCATGGATTCAGAGGCAAACGATGACGTAAGCGATGGATCCAAGGTCAAGTGGGTAGTATCAATCACTTTTTCATTGTACTCCCTCCGTATGCATTTTGAAAGTCGATGTTTGGAACATGGAAGATTAATTACTAGGTAGGTAGGGAATTGAGCGAGAGAGATGTGATCCCACTATCGATTTGTTATAGCTCCTCAATCCTCAACAGGTTGTTTCTTCTTTGCTTGATATCTGACATCTTTAACTAACCATGGCCTTGTACATAGATACCGGTCCAGGAAGGTAGATTGGCGTCCACACAGTCAAACATCCAAATACATACTAATTGACGATCTAAAAATTCCTTCCCCTTCTCTTCCCCGCCACTAGATAAGATCGTCTTCTTCCGCAACCTTAAACTGTTACTAGGCAGTCTAATTCTCACAGATCGTATAGCACCACCAGCTTCAGAAAACAACACGAATTCACATTTCCATCGCTATCGATATCACTCGCCATGCTCTACACTCTCAATCCTTTTTCATCTCCCTCCACCACTACCGAAATCACCGACCTTTTCATATATCCTATAAAGTCTTGTCGTGGTATCTCAATCAAATCGTCCCACCTTACTACTCATGGCCTCGACCTTGACAGACGCTGGATGTTTGTTTCCGGCGAGGACCATAAATTCATTACCATCCGCGACATCTCCTCTATGACCTTGATTGATACCGCCTTTGCTACGGCCAAATCTTCCCTAGAATCTGGCAG